TGCGAACAAATATAAATCCTCAAAGGATAAACTGATCCTAATTGCAGCTTAGATAAGTTTTATTCTGTATATCAAGAATCTTTCAATATAAAAACATGCAATCCCATATTGAATATTGTCTATGGTTTATTATGAAGTCAGCCGCTTGAAAGAACCTATTAACGAATGTAATAAAAAATGGTACTGCCAATAAAATAGTTATAAACTACAACAATAGTATCTTATAATTTAACAATATCATAATTTCATACATTCAGATAACCCAACTTCATCATAAAACTAGAACATGAGCAATAGAAAAACTTGCTAATATTGCTTTAGAATTATTAACATAAAAAAGTAACAATTTAATAACCATCCATGGACCACTCACTTCAAGATGCTTAGGTAGTAATAAACCTCCAGCCTCCCAGCTTGAACCTTCATCACTTAGCATCTCACCAAATATTCCATCACCACCTTTAATATCAACCGCAAATGACTATCAATTATTTAATCCACCAAATGAAAATCCAACACAGGAAAAGACCTTTATAAAAAATTATCAAATTCCTGATTTGGAATACCCAAAATTTTTTACAAGCTATTTTAGCCCTACCATATCACGAATCCCAAAAGCAGCCCTAAAATTAATTTATCCTTTTTATATCATTCATTAATAATATTTTACGAAACCCATTAGGATCTAAATTGGAGAAAAATGATATATTTCTCAACATTAATATTATCAAATCCACCAAAAGATAATCCAACCCCACTATGCCAAACCATCAAAGAAAGAATTGAAAACTTTGATATGACCTCCACAGACCATTTAAATAAACTACAATCGGTGAACTATTTAAACCTCTTCTAATTATTTTGAATACTCCAGCAATTTTGAAAAATTAACACCAAATAGCAACGATCCTGCTAATAAACCTTTATGTAACCCCTCACACAAACTAATATATAATAAGATTAATAATTATCAATCTAAAAGGAGCTCTCCGAGCTCTTGCTAACGCAAACACTTTGGCACCCGATAATATCAGCATAAGAAATCAACTTTTAGAAAAACATCCGACCCTTAAATACACTCCTCAAATACTGCCTATGATAAATTCATAGATAAATATCACTCCAGGAGAAGCCTTAACCGCTATTAAATCTTTTCCAAACGATTCTGCTCCAGGACTGGATTACCTTCGACCCTCATTTATTCTCGATCTCATGGGTTTAGACAGTTCCAAATTTCTACTTAATTCTTTAACCAAAATTTTTGATGTTATTATCAACAAGAAATTACAACATAAACTAGCACCAATAATCTTTGATGCTCGACTAATTGGACTTGAAAAAGCTAAAAATCAAGTGCGCCCATTAGCTATTGGAATTTTCTACCGACGAACCATTTCAAAAATTACTAATCGACTCAAATCTACAATAACCTTAGCTCCTTACCAAGTGGGATTTGGAGTAAAAGGAGGCTGTGAAACCGCAATTTATTGCAGTCGAATAGTTTTATCCAACCTCAAACCTGAAGATTATATAGCAAAACTAGATATATTCAATGCCTTTAATTCAATTAATAGGAATAAAATGATCGATACTTTCTTGGAATCCATCTTAGCTATAGCATTCCTTCCTTACTCAAATGTAATGATTATATTATTAATTCTGCAGAAGGCCTCCAACAGGGTGACCCATTAGGACCACTACTTTTTTTGCTATACCCTTAAACACCTAATAAGTAATATTGCTCTCAATCTACACGTTTGGTACCTTGACGATTGTACTATATCGGGGACCATTTCTTCAATCCAGAATTGTCTAGATATAATTAACAAACACTTTGATGAACTTAATTTATCCTTAAATATAAATAAATGCGATATTTATCCTTCTCCGCCTCCAACAGACACCATATTAGATAACTTTAGACGGACACCCTTACAAGATTTCAGTATATTAGGAGCCCCATTGGGAGGTGCAGAGGGAGTTTTTAATTTTTTAAATAATCACCTTCAATCACTATTCCCCAAACTATCCATCTTAAAAAAAATACCCATCCATAAAGCATATTTCATTCTCAAAAACGCCCTTTTATTACCACAAATCCAGTATTGTTTAAAAACTTCTGGTGCCTTCTCTTTTGAAATTCTTTTAAAAGAATATGAACAAAAGATACTACAAATGAAGAGTTAATAAACATCAAACTAGATTCTAACTCATGGCTTCAAGCAACTCTCCCTTGTAAATCTGGGGGGACTAGGCCTAAGATCGGCATTAAAGTATAGCCCTTGTTTCCTTCATCTCAACAACCTTATCAGTAAAAAATATTACCTCGCAAATTATTACCATCGATAAAGAAAATTTATTAGATGAAACCTAACGTTGTTGGAATATTAATGTCTTACCAAACACAACCCCACCAGATTCAACGAAACAAAAAGATTGGGATCAAGGATTGGTATCTCGTTCCTTAGCTTACTTCAACTTGAGAGATGATCACCAATAATAATCTCTCCTAAGATCACTTAATTTCAACAACTCTAGCTATGAAAGATTAGAATATCCCAGCATTTTAAATAAGCTAATAGATAACGACGCATTTCGTTATGCAATCAATTTACGCTTGGGCGTACCTTTCCTAAACCAATATATTTGCATTAAATGCAATCAATCGGCAGATGCGTATGGGAGACACGCTTTCCATTGTAAATTTCTATCAAAAATCAGCCAACATTGCAATAATTTAGCTTCCTTTTTTTGAATAAAGCCAATTTTCCCTGTATTTTAGAACCGACATCTTTTTTAGTTAAAAAACGCCCTGGCGGCAAAACAATCGTACCTTTTTTAACGGGAAAGCCTTTAATGTGAGATTTTACCTGCATTGATCCCATGGCTCCATCTAATAATTCGCATGATCCCCATAACAGAGCCGAATGTCTAAAAAATACAAAATACTCACACCTAATGCGTGACAACCACTTTGTTCCCATAGCAGCTACGTTAACCTGCTCTTTTGGACAAGCGGCATTAGATCTCTTCAAAATAATATCCAAATCAATAAAAAAAATTATCATTTTATAAACTCAATCAGAAAATCGCCGTATCTATAATTTAGATCTAATTATCAAATATTTAAATGATATTTTTTTAAAAAATGTTTTTATTCTTTTTATAAAAATATACACATGTATCATATCAATTTCTTCTTTTTTTTAACTTAAACTTATATATGACATATTTTATTATATTCTTTATATAAGGATTATAATATCATTTTGACCAAAATATATTTAAATTAGGATATCATTAGATACCAAAATTCAATTTTTATTTTCTGATTTTTTTTATTATTTGATTCTAAACCTCGCAAGGCTTAACCCGACCACTTAATGTGGAGAAGCCGCTAACAAAGTTTAACACTTCTCGGAAGATAGAATTACAGTGTCAATTTTCTATATGTATTTTCTCATCTGTTTTTGTCACATAATAAATAACCATGCTGATACGACAAAACAGACGAGAAAATACATATAGAAATTGACACTGTGTAGAGATCAAAAATAGGAAAATAAATTTATTATCATCTATGAGTGTTACCTTAGTTCAAATAGAAAGAAGAATCAAAATTAATATTTTGATACTCATAATGATGTTTTGGCTTTGATAGACATATACAGGACTCTCAAAGGTCTATGCTCGCTCATTAGGAGTTAGGAGGCTGATTCCCCAATTAGCTAGATAGAGCTATCGATTGATACCTTATATTTGAACACGCACACATATATATATATGCTTAAGGCCAGGAAAAAAAACAACAACTTCCGAAGAAAAAAATAATGATAAAATTCAAAATAGATAAAGGAAAAAGCGCGCCTATATTAGTATTCCCTATTATCCCGGTTAAAGTGGAGATCTTTAAATCTTGGAAAATTTCTGTCTGATATCTTTAAAAATTACGAAATTCATATCTAATAAGATAGAAAAAAAATATATATAAATATAATCGAATATAAGTCATTACTAATCAGAAGAGTAGGATCTAGATACAAGTATCTAGATCCTGTATCTAGATATAAAAATGTGGTATCTGTATCTAGATAGATATTTGATTAAAATATCTGTATCTATATATTATTTTAGACGATGTATCTGTATCTAGATCCATTTAAAAAGTATCTTTTATCAACTCTGCTAATCGGAATAATCTTAGAGACCTGCAGAGGTACCATTTATTTGATAATTAGATCTAAATTATAGATACGGCGATTTTCTGCTTGAGTTTATAAAATGGAGAAAACGATTTTTTTTTATTGATTTGAGTATTATTTTGAAGATCTAATGCCGCTTGTCCAAAAGAGCAGGTTGATGGTTGATGAAGCTGTTATGGGAACAAAGTGGGTGTCACACATTATGTGTGAATATTTTATATTTTTTTAAAAAATAATATTTTTCCCACCAGAACCCATTAATTTTATTTTCAGGCCCGGCCCGGATTTCCGGATTTCTTTTAAATATATTACATTTAGAGCTAATAATAAAACTATTAGTAATATTTGGTTTTAAAATTATAGCGGCCGGCCCGGCCCAACCCGACCCGACCCGACTCGACCAGACCCGACCCGGCCCGGCTAGGCCCGGGTACTTAAAAAAAATATTTTAGACCCGGCCCGGGTATATTAAACAAAATTAAAATATGGCCCGGCCCGCAGGTCTCTGAGAATAATTGTCCGATTATCTGGAGGGTCACATTGGCAAAAATAAAATCATTATTCACATGCTTCATAAGTCATAAAATAATAAAATAAAATTTTAAGGTGAATATATATATATTTAAAATTCAACAAATAATTGTTTTTTTTTTTTAAACAAAGATAAATTAGAAGAAATAATAGAAATTATGCTGATCTGTTTTTTATAATAATAAATAATATAAAACTTTGGTTTTTTTTAAAAAAATTTAGGCAATTATTTGTATTTTGTACATATATATAATATAATATAATTTGATGAATGGCTTTTTGTTTATTAAATCTAAGAAATGGAGCAATGCTATATACGCCGTAATCTTTATCCATACCTTTATTTATACGATAATTTATTCTGGCAACTATTCCAACTCCTTAGTAACCAAATTCAACACTACCGAAGATTATCCTGAACAGAAGGCATGGAATAAATTCTGGCACAATTTTTCTTTATTCAAGGTGTCACCCTTGAAATTTACCGCTCTACCTTCAACCGATTTATTTCTAATAAACGAATCGAAAATTCATAAAAGATATTGCCATGGTGGAAGTGATAAGGCATCTATATATATTTTAGCGTTAATAATTTCCTCGTGGACCAATTTCCACGCTCGCCAACGTGTCAGAGAAACCTGGGCCTTCAGCGGTAGTATATCCGAAGCTAACAGAACTCATTATATTAGGCACGTTTTTCTTGTGGGCCAAGCCCCTTCTTACAACTCTACCTTATCCAAACAGGAAATTCTTATATCGCAAAACAAATTGGAATCGGAAATCGAGTCATTTCAAGATATCGTGGGTGCTAATTTTATCGACAATTACGCCAATCTAACTTACAAAACGATGACAGGTATCGCGTTCGCTTTAATGGAAGGCCACCGAAACAAAAATTCCCCTCTGTTCGAATCATCTTGCTTTAAAAAATATTTGCTGAAAATTGATGATGATACTTTGCCAAATCTTAAATATTTGATGAAAACCCTAGTAAATTATCATAAAAATCCAATGATTAATAAAAATTCTGTATCTAGACAGCCGTCGGTTTCTTTTCCAGTTTTTATATGCAAAGTCGCGCACAATTGGTTGCCCATAAGATCTCCTGAGCATAAAAACTTTTTGTCCCCCTCTGATTACCCGCCAGAAAAACTTATGCCATTTTGTCCTGGCGCGGCGTACCTTGTGAGTTACGATTTAAAGACTCTTGAAAATATGTGCAACACGTCACGATTTACCAAGTATATAGCTAACGAGGACGTTTATGTGACAGGGATGCTCTCCGAATTGCTCAATATTTCCTTGATTGATATGGGGGAATATTATTCTAATATGGATAGCTATACATTGAAGGAAAAATCCGAGAAATACATGTTTTCAACACACATTAAAGATGATTATTCTTATAAAAACATTTGGAAGAACATTGAATCGAGATAAGCGGAAAGTTTCAATTTCAAAAAAATAAAATCCATTTTCGATATTTATACGTGAAAAACAAAATATTTAATTAGATCTAAAATTTGTACAATTATTTATTTTTTTAAATATCTTTTAAGGGGTAGAAACTAATAAAAACAAATTTTATAAACATATGATAATTTAGCATTTCATAGTAGAACTATCGAAAATAAAATTACAATTACTTTTTTTTCCCCACTGTTCATGAATCTTAATTTATATTTGAATCATTATGTTAAAGAACTGGAGCCAATATTTCACTGGGTATCGTGATAAGATAAGATATTCTATGCTATTTTATTTATTTTAATTTATTCCTATATATGGCATTTCTTAATTTTCGGCGAAGATTTATCCTGAAAAATAAAATCTTGGCTAATCCTCCTTTATTTTTTTAAAAATACAGTTATTTATTTAATCTAACTTTTAGTAAAAAAAAAATTTTTTTTACCCATTATTAATAAAATAATTATATATAATAATAAAGGTGAAAACAAAAATATTTTATATAACATTTTATATTAGTGTTAATAATTAAATAGATTATTTATGTTAACGTTTATTATGTTTACAATAATATTCTTTGGCGATTAGTATTTAACTTTTTAAGGCAATAATTTGTACATTGTTATATGTGAATTGCATTTTTTGTTTTATATATTCAATTATGTTAAAAAAAAGAAATTAAATCTAAACGAATATATATATATATGTTTATTTATTGGAAATAATATATATAATATAAAATTTAAATTTTCACAAATGAAGACTTTGGTTGAATCATCATAAATTCTAAACCGTTCTCACATTGATTATATCGACCAAATCTCGGTGCGAGAACCACCCCACTTGCATTATATGGGTTTAATCAATTAATTTTGCGACAGAATTTAAACTGTTTTTAATTAGATTTTTTTGTTGAGTCCATTATAATGTAAATCACGCAAACAAATATGCGGGGTTTATTACTAGATAACATATGGACAGTGGCGTAGCTACGGGGGTGGTTTTCGGGTTTGGACCCCTCCCAGAGCAAATATTTTTTTAGATTATACGTTCAAAAGACTTAAAAGTGACTTTGTATCAAATAAATACCATTAATATTTATATTTTTCTGGTTTTGATGTTTGTGGAAGGATATTATGTTACCATTAAAATTATTCTGTGTAGTATTATTATAAAGTCATTGAGAATAATTTGCTAAATTATAATAACATATTATTCATGCATTTAAAAAAAATATTTATTATATATTGTCGAAGATGTGGTTATGATTTTTAAGATAAACCCGGCTGAAGGCCGGCCAAAAGGGGGTCTAGCTGGCGAAGCCCTCAAGATTTTATATGTATGGACCCCCTCTAAGGAAAATTCCTAGCTACGCCACTGCATATGGATGCTATTGCTTTCGTTGATACATTTAAATATGCTGGGTTTATCACTAGATAACATATGGATACTATTGGCTTTAGTTGATACATTTAAATATGCGGGGTTTATTACTAGATAACATATGGATGCTATAGGCTTTCGTTGTACATTTAAGTTTTTGTATTAAGGAATAACAATAGGCTGAGATAGAAAATTAGAAAAAAAATTAAAAGGAGAAAATAAGATAAGAACAGAATTACAGATCGATTAGATGTTATAGATGTGGCCAACTAGGATACATCTCGCGACAATGCGAGTTAACAGGGGATCTTGAGTTCGCGAAATGTGGACTTGAAGGTCGCGTAGCTACGAATTGTAAAGGATTTTTTTTGACAATAGTTTGAGATGTTAAAAATGCTTAACAAGGAGGGAATTCACAAGAGAAAAATGCAATAAATGACTATATGAGAATGAGAATAATGTTATGAATAATAAAATTAATGGTATGTCTGATTTTTTTAAAATTATAATAAGAATTTAGGTATAAATGGAACAGATATAATTTATTTAAAATATGTAAATTAAAGATAATTTTTAATGGGAAAATGATTGGAAGAGAAATTGAAACAGAAAATGTGTGTAAAATTGAATTAGAAAAGTTAATAAAGAAGAAAAATAAAATGACCGAAGATTGAGATAAGAATAGGAAAAAGTGAAACATTCTTTTTTTATACTAGATACAGGAACCGAGATCAGTTTAATGAGTGTAAAAGATTTTAATAAATGTTTTCCAGAAGAAAATTTCATAGCAAGAAGAATAAGAGAGCTGACCATTAGACGGTAGTATTGTTATGATTTTAAGTTTTTATGTGATAAAAAATTGTTAGATATAAATAAGGAGGTATCTTTATCGATTGCATTATTAAAGATAGAGCTTATCTTAGGTTGGAAGGAAATTAAGTATATAGATCCTGATTATAATTTTGAAACTGTCTTTGAGAACAACAATGTTACTGAAGAAATAATACAAAGCGAGAACGAGTTTAGAAAATTAAACATGATTTAGTTCTCGGTAAATTGAGAATTGAACACCAGAATTTTTGATTAGATATAGAAGTGTAACATAGAAGAGAATAATTAAATTCAATAGAGGTAACTTCAGTTGAAGTCAAACAACAAGAAATCGAGATTAAGGTAGAATTTGATGTTGTTGAGGACAAGTCAGCAATGATATAAAGGATATATTGAATAGGTATAATGTAAAAGATTTTGAGGTTAAGATTAGAGAAAAATTACTTGCCTAAATTCTCTGGCATGAGAAAATTACGTTTTTCTTGGATGGAGGAAATAGATAAAGAATTAGACAAATGGCTGAAGGAAGGTATAATAAGACCAATAGTTCATACGGTATGGGCGACACCACTGGTCCCTATAAGAAAACAGGATAGCAGTTTAAAACTATGCATAGATTATAGGATATCTGTAAACCAGTGAATAATCACAACAGTGAAATATCTTTTATCAAGAATAGAGCAATTATGGGCTAATTTATAAAGAACTATATTTTTTTTGAAAATAGATTTTTCTAATGCTTATTTACAGATTAAGGTGAATGAGAAAACAAGTATAATATAAAATATTAACAATTACAACATATAAAGAGTTGTTTGCATTCTATCGATTGCCTTTTGGGTTGAAAGTCCAATAATTCAAAGAACTATGGTTGCTTTGTTCCAAGGATTAAGTTGAATCATGGATTATTTAGATGATGTTTTAATATCAGGTAGAACAGGAGCATAATACGAGATTAATTAAAGTGTTAGACATAATTTTAGAAAATGGGTTAAGGGCTAATATTAAAAATTTTGGAGTAAAGGAAATAACGTACTTAGAACATATAATTAAGGGAAATTAAATTTTTCCGATTTCAAAGAATATTGATAAGATTACGAGCATGTTTTTTTTGGAGGTACCAATTATTATCATCGTTTCATACAGAATTTTGCGGAGACAGCTACATCGTTGATAAGAAGTTATTGAAGAAAAATATAAAATTTGAATGGGAAATATAATGTAAGTTTAGAAAATTAAAGATAAAGATGGTAGAAAAACCTATTCTGAAAAATGTTTTAATCGAGACATTAGATATTGTATTAGCAATAGTAGATGCATCTAATGAAGGTATAGGAGGGAGCTTCGATACAAATGATTGATAATGTGGAGAAGCAGATTTTTTTATTTCCAGACAATTTAATAGTAATGAAAAAAAAAATTAGTCAACAATAGAAAAAGATTAGAATTCAAATTTGGTTTATTGGGTCGAAAGTTTTTACTATATAAGAATCACAAGCACTTTTGTAGATTTATTCAAAAAGGACAATAAAGAAAGGATGTGCACCGAGGTTACAAAAATGGTTGATTTTGGTTGGTAATTTCGATTACGAAATAAGATTCAGAGCTGGTATACAATTTTTTTTTACTAGATATGTTTGCTAAAGAAATCACAAACATTATAGAGCCCATAATTAAAATAGTTTAGAGTATATTAACAAAGAGGATGAATTTAAATATAAATATTATAAGAGCTTTGAAGGTTGATACAATAGTAAAAGCCTGTAACAATAGAGCTGGTAGCATAGGCGTAGCCAGGATTTTCCTAAGGGGGGGGGGAATTAAAAAATTTTTGGGAACTTCGCCCCCAGACCCCATTTTGGTCTGGCCTTTGGCCTGCTTTTGCCGGCCTTACCTTACTCTATATAGTCATAAAATATTTTTACAAGATAGGAGGTTAATTTTAATAAAAAAATAAGCCTGGAATAAATATGAAATATATTTTTATTAGTTTATATAAAATATAATAAATTACTTGTTACATTAATATAAAAGCATGATAATAATTAATTCCAAACAAGTATAAGAAATTTATTTATAAAAAGTAAGTAGACATATATTTGATATTCCTCTATTATATAGAATTGGTTATAAAATACTAGGTAAAATTCTACTTTTACAGACATATTTGTCAGTTACAAAATATATTACAGTTAATATTTAAACAAATTTCCTAATCAATGCTCTTGAAAATAAATATAATCATTTAACGCCATCTATTTATTTTAAATAAAATTAGATAATAATAATTCTTCATATTATTCATCCCACAATGTCTTTAAAAGATATTTTCTGATGTCCTTAACAATATTTTAGAGTTTTCTGTAAAATATATAATTCGCTATATTGTTATAAATTAGTTGATTGCCATATGATAATTGATAAAATTAGATATACTGTAAATCTACCACATATAATATTCAACTGTTTGTATTGTGCTTTAATTTTTTTTATTTAATTTATGATTTAATTTTATCAATAGTTTTATAATTATATTTTACTTTTATTAAGATAAATAAATTAAAATTACTCACTTTATAAAAATTATATTTGATATATTATATTATTTAGCAATTTTATGGATCTAATTAATAATTATATTACATTTCACTTTTGTCTTAAGACTTATATTTTATTTCTTAAAAAACATTTTTGGTTCACTTTTTTTATATAAACGCTTTTTTCGAAAAATTTATAAATTATGATGAATAGTTTTAGTTTAAAAACATATCAACAACTTTTACATTATTTCTTTCAAATTACTGTTTAAGATATATGCATACATTTTGGGGGGTCAGGGAGTGGGGAGAGGACTAAGGGGGGTATTTTTTATTAGCTTAAAATGAAATTCACAAAAAATGATAAATTTTTGAAAAGGGTGAGGGAATTTCTCCGTGCCCCCTCCCTGGCTACGCCTATGGCTGGTAGATAAAGTATCTAGGCAAAATGAAGAATCAAGGAGAATTAGACTTCTGGAGATATAGAATGGAAAAATGACGACAAAGCGTTTAGAAACATAAAAGTGAATTAATTATAGAAGACAGCTGTTTAATGAGAGGATATCGCTTAGTGATACCGAATATATTAAGAAAGAATATTTTAGCAACGGTGCATGCTGGATATCAAGGCAAGAGAGAACGAAGAATAAAGCACGAGAGTATATTTAGTGGCCCAAAATGTATTACGAGATAAAAGAAGTAGCTAATAGTTCTGATAAATGTAACATGGGGGCTAATGTACCGGCAAGAAACAAAGAAGATAAATGGCCAGAGACAAACATTCCTAGAATATGAGAAGAAAAAATATTTTATCATGATAGATGCCGGCAACGTTTCAAATGAATTCCTGTTTTAAATAAATTCTAATTTAGTGATATTGACATTTATGAATGACATGTTAAGATTTAATATTTTTTTTAGTGATATTGACATTTATGACTGGCGCGCATATAATAAATATAATATTTTTAGTGATACTGACATTAATGACTCACGTGTAAAGATTAAGTATTGTATTTTCTATTGTTATAGATATTTAAGTGAATCAACGTAAAAAAATACATCTAAGCGGTTCTGGATAGAGAATTAAATTCTGAGTTCAATGATATAATTGTATCTAAAATTACGTTTAAGATGTTAGCCTTTCCCCTCTAAAATGCTTTCGCGACAAAAAAAATATTTTTTGAACCGGAAACTTAAAAAAATACATCTAAGCGGTTTTGGATAGAGAATTAAATTCTGAGTTCAATGATATAATTATATGTAAAATTGTGTTTAAGATGTTAGCCTTCCCCTATAAAATGCTTTCGCGACAAAAAAATTATTTTTTGAACCGGAAACGTAAAAAATATATCTAAGAGGTTTTGGATAGAGAATTAAATTCTGAGTTCAATGATATAATAATATTCAAAATTACGTTTAAGATGTTAGCCTTTCCCCTCTTAAATGCTTTCTCAAATTAAAAATATCCTTAAAAAATTTATATTTCTCATTTACTTCTTTATCAAATATAAAATCATAACCTAATATTAATTTAATTAAAAATATTAAATTAATTTTTAAAAACCGTTAATTATTTTAAAGTATTTTTAAAAAAATTGAAAAGATCTTAAAATTTCCATATTTTTATTATTATAATGTAATGTTATTATTATAATATTTTTTCTCTAACAATAAATCAATCAAATATCTCATTAAACATTTTCTTTGTTATTTTTATTTTCAATATTATTTTTTAGCCTTTCGTATTACCATGCCTTTCGACTTATGGACCTACCCAAAAAATGCGATTTTATTTTTTAAAATTAATAAATATTATTTGCTAAAAAAAACATTCGATTTTGTAATAAGTTGGATGATATGATATTATTAAGCCAGTAATTTACGCAAAGGGTATTGAAATGTTATATTATATATTTTTATTCTTTTAATTTTTGATGTTTCAAACCTTTTGTATAAGACCATCAATTATTATATAAGGGAGTAATGCGGTATTTTCTTAATGCAATCTACAACTCATCATTTAAACAAAACTATTTAACTAGTCTAGGAAAAGAGTGTTTTTTCATTATTTTCGCCTTAAAATTTAAAGATAAATTATGTCTTAGATTTTTGGAAGATAAGAGCGTTGGATCTTCCTAAACTTTCAATATTAGCTTAGAAAGGTCCTATGCTTTCCAGCTACGAGCACACCCAGCAATCGTGTATTTTCCATAGCTGGGCTCCCTCTGAACTCTAAAACATCATCATTATGTCCTATAAATCTAAATAAAATAATATTTGTGCATGATAATTATAACTCGATAAAATCGTTAAATTATAGTTATAAACATAATGCAGCATAAATTTCATTTTTAAAAGGCCTATGCTTATCGCCCTGAAAATGTTCATGGTTTTGATATTAATTTGCCTACATACATACTAAGTATTTTAGGATTTTTTTTGTGAAATATATTTAACGCATATTCCTTACAGTTTTAGCCAAAAGTTAGTGGAAAATTTATAGACTAAAAAATGATGCAAATAAAGAATAATATATTATATTATCATCTTGGGATAAAACGGCTAAAAATGTTTGGTCCGATAAAATAAGTTTAAAAAAAAAACAATAATTCTGCGATACTAACGCTTGCGCCGGCATACAAAAAGAAATTTTGAGCAAAAACGGTAGATTTTTGAAAATAACCGCAAAGTGAAGAATGGTTAGAATATCCCAATTCTCGTTCCGAAAAAATGGGCGCATTCAGCATGTCTCACGTGCCTTTAATTTTACTGTTGTGGTTCAATTTTGTCTCAAACACTTTGGTTCCTATATTTTTTTTTCCGAATAAATGCTTTGCGACTGCGTGGTTTTGCTAATTTAATATTTTATTTTACAAGTTCTTGCCAATCGATAATAAAGAAAAAGATATTAAACAAATAAATTTATTTTTAATAAAAAGGTGAATAAATAGAAGAGAAATTATTTATATATATATATTTGTTTTATAACCCCCTAACCCCCTTATAACAAAATTATATTATAAATTAGAAAAAAATTATCTTTTAAAGGGCTATTAGATTATATATTATATTTCAGGAAGAATTAGATAGGAATCTGTCTAATAAAAAAAAAATATCAACAAGAATTTATAATAATATCGTATAAGGGAGAGGCATTCCCTCTTAAGAATTATTGCAATATGTTTCTTCAAATCGAGAAGCTATGGTTGATATTTTTGATTTGTCTAGCCTTGCTTTTTTATTCGTTTAGTAACTATTGCAGTCATCTATTGACATTCACGAAATTGAAAATGCCATTCGTTAAAATTGAGGATTCCGAGCTGTTATATACTTATATATTAGACTCTTCAGGTGGTCATAACTCGAATATATTGTCCAATAATATATCATCGTACGCTCATTATATCGAAAACCGATCTATGGTGCCAGTTGCAAATGATGTGAAAGACATAAATGGAACTATAATAAATTGCGCTACAAATAACAGATACATTGGATGGGAGGCATTAGGACGATTAGGTAATATGATGTTTCAATATGCCGTGATATATAGTTTGGCCAAGGACACGGGTAAAATTCCAACCTTATTAGTATCTACTGGAAAATTGTCCTATTTTTTTAAGTTAAGTTATCAAGAAATGCTCAAATTACCAAGGAATTGTGATTATAGTGATCCTGCCTCCACTGGATCGAATGAGATTAAAGTTAAAAGATTCAGCCTTTTAGCATTTGATGCCTTACTAATAGATAAAGTAAAAAATGATGGGTATAAAATATTCAGAGGACACCCTAATTCATATAAATATTTTGAAAAATATCAAAAGGACATCAAAAGAGAGTTTACTTTCAAGGAGAAAATCAAATCTAGAGCCGACAAATTTTTGAACAAAATAAAAGCGAGTTATTTTGAGTCTATTATCAAGTCTGAAGTCCAGGATCTGGTATTCGTATCCATTCACATTCGAAGAACGGACATGTTCCAACATATGAAAGTTAACCAAGGGACCGTTTCGGGATTAGCTTACATTAAAAAAGCTATGAATTGGTTCAAGGGTTATTTTGGCATTAAAAATGCATACTCGAATGACGACAGATCCAATAAATCTTTAAACCATCATTTCGCGTTTATAGCGTGCAGCGATGATTTAGAGTGGTCCCGCGAAAATTTGGGGAATATCGACAATATATATTTTTGCCCGGGAAATTCGCCGATCGACGATTTAGCCATACTCGCATCTTGTAATCATACGATTCTAACACAAGGAACTTATGGGTGGTGGGGAGCCTACTTGAGAGACTTGGGAGATGGTAGCTTAACAATTTACCCTTCAAACTTTTTAGCAAACACATCAGTTCAATTTATCCTTAGAAAATTTACATACAATCGTTATTATCCCAAAAATTGGATAGGTCTGCCGATATAAATACAATTATTTTTTGAGTAGTAACAAATAACAAAATATAAAATAAATTTATTCTTTAACGATAGATTATATTATTTATATATTCTAAGTATAACTTCATTAATTGTATATCGAAATTTTTTTTATAAATTAAAGACTTCCATATTTTCATGGTACACATAGTAAAAAAAATAATTTGGCTCTTTATCCTATTACATTTATTTTTATATATATATAAGAAGTATGTTTTTAAAGTTCAATTGGGTTTTTTAAATTTCTAATTGCGGTTATTTTGAGAAAAAAACATGTTTCCAATTATTTTGCAACCTTACAACGGACGTTGATTTAAGATCTGGCAGCTTGGAAGATATAAGTTGAGGTCCTTAACATGAATCCCACAGCACAACATGTAACAATTCATCCCCTTAGGTTATGCATATAGGAATATTTTTTTAAATCTAGATACCAGTGACGTAGCTAGGAATTCTCCTTATGGAGGTCCACACCTATAAAATCCTGGGGGCCTCGCTTTTCAGAACCACCGTTAATGGGCCTTAGGTCTTTTGCCCGCCATTAGATCGGGTTTATCTTAAGAATCATATTACCATCTATTATCTATATATCCAATTCTAATAATATCAGATCAATTTTAATTAAAATATCACTGAATCCGGCATTATAAATATTTCTTATTAAATTACAAAATTATTATATTATTTAATCAATAATTTTTAAAAAAGGGGTAAAAGTAATTTTCTCTTGGTTCTATAGGGAAGAATTCTCTTACTAACGCAAATATATTGGTACATTTATATATTTCTCCAATTTTTTTCTTTGGCGGTTTCAGAAATAAATATTATTTTACTTTATTTTTATGCAAAATATGTGATTGTTTGATTTTAAATAAGAAATCAATATTTATTTTTAATATATATTAAATATTGCCTTAATTTATTAACTGATATATTATAATAATCATTAAGTATTTCACATCATATAAATTCATAGTTTGATCATTATCTGAAGTCTTTAATGATAATTTGTGAGACTGATGATAGTAATTTGGTAGTCGTGGTAGTATTTCTATAACTCAAACAACAGCATATAAGAAGTGGATGAATGTGCATCACGTAATGTATTATAATAATTCACATCATTCGAAGCGTCAAAAAAAAAGATTATATAAAAATGAATCTAAAAAAATCAATGCAAAAATTAATGTCCTATTACAAAATTGTTATCTATTATATATATAATTGTAAATCAATACCAATCAATAATCAAGTTAGGTAAAATGTTTTTTTTTTAAATATAAATAAAGCTAAAATATTGTAAGGTATAAATTTATATATAACAGAGTTTGATGAGAATCAAAAAAATCTTAAAAGAAGAAAAATCTTTGATCAAATGTTACCTAGAAATTCTATATAAATATATATTTTGTAATTTCCAAACATACAAAATCAATTCCAAATGAAATTCCTTAATTTTAAGGAAAAATCAATATTTCTAACCCTAATATAAATTGTAATTAAGGAGATATTATTTTATCACAATAAATCTGAGGTAGGATTATACAAGTTTTATTAATAACTATCAAAAATACAAATTATGTTTGCTATAAATAAAAATGACTTTAAGAAATAATCAAAAAATTTTTTTTTTTGATGTTTAAAATTTATTTTTAAATTTAACTAAAAGTGTCTAAAGTTATTATTGGTTCTTAGATTTTAATGCATATTCAAATAATTTTCATGTAAATTGAAATCATTTTTTTAAGGCATCAATAAAATTATTAAGAGATTAGAGGGATACTGCTTAGATAATCATATTAAGTTCCGGAAAAGGACTTATTTTTTTTTATACAAATTCAAAAACAAATATTATTGGTGCCAGTCAAACTGTTGTCAGGAAAATAATGAGAGCTATAACTATTTTGAATTATAATTTGTTTTAATATAGGTCAACCCTTTGATTCTAAAGAGGAATTGGTGATAGTTTATTAAAACTTTAATATTTAGTTTATAACATTCAAAGTGTAGTAATATTATATATTCTACTTTATACTTTCATGGTCTTTTATTTATAATATTATCTGTTTTATATATTGTTTTGCGGCTATAATTCAAATATTTAAAGTTTCGATATAATTGTGAAATTTAATTTATTTTCTTGTAAATAATATTCAAATGTTTTTTATATACAATTAACTTTTACCGAAAGTTATATATATATACTGATAAATTGTTTTACGACCACTTAATCTAACTCATTCCCTAACCCCTACACCAACTTAAAAAATTATTAGAGTTGACCTGGAAAATGTCTAAGACATTAGCCTCAGCTTAATCAAATAATCTAAGAAGTCTTTTGACGTCATCCATTATTTTAAGAATATTTAGATTTCGTTGAGATATCTATTAAGATTAATGAATAGTTTTTAAAATAAATATAATTTATTTCAAAAGATTGAAATAATAAATGTAGATAAGAATGTACAAAAATATGTGGCATTATAAAGCATTTTTATTAATCCACCTACTTCTGCTAGATGTAATTCATTCCTTTCAGTTAAAATAGACGCAGTGTTTTCAACTATACCATCAAGTGCTTTAGGAAAGCCATTAAACTATCCTTAATTCATATTTTTGGTAGCATACTAATTTAAATAATTCATATAAATCAATGATAATATTTTTTCCCCAAAAAAATATTAATTGTATCAGAAAACTTATGTTCATGTTTAACAAACTTAAATGTTAAAATATTATTTTATTGGGATATTTATCCGATCCTAAATCTTAGAGCTTTACCCTGAATTCATAGTGAGGTGAATTGCGATTTAACAGCTGATCAGTTTTGTTTTTTTTTAAATTAATAATAATTTTATCTTTTAATATCAATTTCATAATAATAATCAAAGAAATAATTATTTTAATAAAGAAAAATTGATCTAATAAACAGATTAATCGCACCATAATTAATTCAAGTTTAAACGTATAATCTGCATGTTTTTTGGCGTGGTTTAAACTTCAAAATTACTCCCATTTCTACGCCGCTGCCAGACACTAATAAAAACTTGACCTTAGTCCAAACCTGACTTTTGTTAAATAAAAATAAACTATATTTGTCTTGGATAATATTTAATAGCTTAACAATTTTAAACAATATGAATTTATAACAAAATTTGAAGCAAATAATGTTATAGTTATTAATTAATATAAATGAAAATATTATATAATTTGATATTTTGTTGCATAAGAATATGTAATGTTAAGTTATTTCTTTTCATTAAAACTGATTGCATAAGAATGATATTTAAAATAATTAAATAATTTTGATATTTTGCTGTTAAACAATATTTCCATCAAAATATTATGTAACTTGTTATATAAATTTAAAATGAAATAATTTTTCTCACATAAAATTCTATATTAAGTTGGTTTCATTTAAATTATAAATATGGTAATTATATAATTACATATGTAGTTGCATAAGAATGCAATGTTAGGCAAATTTTTTCATTAATATTGAATGTAAGTTGTTGGAATTTACAAATTCAAAATGATATAATTAAATATTTTCTCAAATTCTATATTAAGTTAGGGTGCATTCACAGTAGAGAACGACAGCGACATGACAAAGACAACACGGCATTAAACGACAGAGCAGCTGATGTGTCGTAAGCGACATAGCATTCATAGTAGTTGCGACAAGCATATTTTTATTTTTTTTAAAAATGCTCTGTTGTATATTCAACGTTAGAGGGCGAATGCGCTATATATCACGTATCACGTAAAAAGGTATCTATACAACTTTAAAATTATTCCTATTAAAACCTTTTATTATATTTTAAGCCAAATTAAATCAAAACTAATGGTAAAAAAAACTAATTTTATTATAAATCATCAGTAGAAGAAAAATTGATAAGTTTATTTTATATAATCAAAATTGCTTAGATATTTGGGAACAGGATGTAACTATTCATCGCCTTTCAAGGGCCAGAAGAATGGTGGAATGCACCTTTGGCATCTAAATGGTGTATTCTTAATAGAGCCTTGGATACCAACGTCACCAATAGCAAAACAAGTATAAAAACCTATGCACTAATACACAATTTAGTTATTGATAAAGAAAACAGATCTCCACCCCAAGGATACTCAAGATCCTAATCAAAATAATTATTTATGGAATCCTCAATCTATAAAAAAACTCCTCAAAGGTTTCTAAAGATATTAGAGATGCCTTTTCTGAATATTTTTATAGAAATAAATTATCATGGCAATTATAGCTTTATAATTTAATAAATTTTAAAAATATTACTCTATTTTTTATATTGATTTGTAATTATTTAATAAAAAGAAAGTATTTATTATATGTGCTTAAATATGAATAAAATAATATAAAAGCTCTTCAAGGAAATAATAACAATGCAATATAATATTTTTTATTCATTATCACTTTCATAATAACAAAATATCAAAAAAAATTTAATAAGTTTTTTCTTTCCACTTTCAAATCTTTTTGATAACATTGATCCAAGAGTTTGTTGATAATGTATTTTCTTTTATTTTTTATATTTCAAGAATTTTCTCAAATAGATCTAGTTAAATATTACAAATATATTTACAAAGGATGCAAATTACCTTGATCAATATCCCTCTTTTTAATTAATTTTTTGCAAGATAAATTTGATCCTATACTAGTTGATAATGCTAAATATATATAATATTATTTATATAAAATATGATTACAATCATTCCTTAAAATTGGATTTTTCCACACTAATTTGGCCATCTTTACTGCAAAAGAAAAATATTTCAAATTAATATACTCTTTAATTACCTGTCTCAATATTGTTTTCAGCTGATGGTATCTGATTGAGTTGATGAAATCTTTATTGATTTTCTATAAAAAATTTATTAACATAATATTTATTTATATTCTAATATAACATTTATTATCTTTAATAGCATTTCAAAAATTTACTTGCAAATTTTCTTTTTCGGGCCATATTGTTGTTATGTCGCATGGAAAACAAAATGATTTGTAACTTGATTTTTATGTTTAATGCGAACAAATGTGGCGGGATTGTCGTGTCGCGTCGCAAAAGCTCACTATGAATAGTCATTGGTAGTTACATATATTTAGACCTGTGCGCCGACGAAATATTGGCGGCCGGCGCAATTAAAAAATCTAATCAACGGCCGGCGGTGCGCCGATTTTAGCCGCCGTCAATAAAATTGGCACATTTATAAATTTTTATAAGATAAATTTTTTTAATTGTTTATTAATTTAAAAAAAAAAAATATACACTATTCTACAGATATCTCGGCATATTTTTGAATATTCATTAATAGAAAACTTATTATATTCAAAATCGATTTCATGTTATAAAAATTATTTTATTAAAATTTTTGGAACATAATGATAGTCTCCTTGAATTTAACGTCAATTCAGCGGTAGAGTAAACTCTTTCACTAGGTGTGCTAGTCGCCGTAATGCAAATAATTTTTTGGCGAGCCTGGAAAGATTGGGAAGTTCACTCTTCTTTTATCTCCAAAAATTGAGAACGTACATATCTTGTGAATGTCGTTTTCCAAGAAAACTGTGGCATTCTTGTTCTAAGTCACCTAACTTGGAATCATAATTTATATTTGTTGAATGTTTATTTGCCAATTTTGTCAAATGACTTGAATTTAATAATTCATCTTCATCCTCATTAGCTATGTTTACTACCTGATTATCATCATTCTCTATAAGTTTAAGATGTTTTATTATAAATTCTGTAGAGCTGAGCAATTTTGCTCTATTAAATACTTTGACACAATTGTCAATTTTTAAAATTTTGGATCTAAAAGAGAAGCCAATACCTAGATAATTTTAAATAAAAAATGAAAGAATATACTTATATAAAATTACTTGCAGATTACAAACCGGAAATCGTAACGCAAGTTTTTTTAGCATATTTTCCTTAAGTGAAATAATTTCAGAACTATCACTATCATTTACTATTAAATGTGTTTCAATTTCACTTCTAAAAAGTAACGCCAAGTTTATAGTACGCCATTTTTGTACTGAAAGAAATTCGACAGTTACTTTAAATTTTGAAAGAAATGCTAATAGTTCTTCTACCAGATCAGATTCATAATTAGATAATTTGAGAAAGTGCTTCTCAATTCTTTTCAAAACATTATTAATTAAATTCTTATTTAATCCAGATATGCTAGCATAATTAATATACTATGCCAACATGTTGGGATATTTAATTTTAAGGTTATCATATGCGTGTGTTATTATTATAATTGGAATTGCCAATTTGAAAACGGGTATCCGAGTATGGATCAATGCTGTCAAGATCTAACATGTCTGATGTTAAATCTATTGTACTTAGACATTTTCTTTGATATTCCTCGAATTCAAATTCAACCTCTGCAGTTTAATATCTTAGAGCAATAATAATTTCTCTAATTCTTTTGCAAAAAATTTCCAGACTATGGATTTTTTATTATCCAGAGTTAGGATACTAAAATATTTAAATTTTTAAAATAGATGCATCCATTTTAAAAATATGTAAAATTATGGTAACTTTTGGAATTTTCGATTGATTGAATTCTATAATGACGTCAATATAATTAAGATTTTAAAATAGTAGAAAATAAAAATTAATCAAAATCCTGATTGACATTAAAAAATTAAAAGAGTGATGTTGACCAATTATTAGAATAAAAAGGTAGAAAGAAATTTTTGCGCCGGCGTGATTGGCCGGCCGGCGCACAGGTCTACATATATTTGTATTTTGTCGTGTCGCTGTCGCTCTCTACTTATTGGATCTAAACCCTTTAGTGTTGGCATGCAACAGAGCTACGCTAGGTTTTCCTCATAATCCATAAAATTGGATATTTAATTTAGGGGTAGAGAAAGAATGAAGAGCCCTTCATACATTTGCAAACCTGAAGTACTTATACGCACAATAGTCCGAGAACTGTTATTTAAACGCCACATAGGCTAAGAAGTGAAGAGTTGTATAAAATAAAAGCCCATACCCGAGAACTTCAGTTATAATTTAATTACTTTAAGGGGTGGGAGGTGGCTGATTTTAAGTTTAAATTCCCTAGTGTAACATCTTAAATGATCACTATCGATATTGAAGAGATTTGTACGTTTATCATATCAAATAGAATTTACGAATCGAATTGATCCTAAAAAGAAAAACAAAATTTAATATATACATTATTTAACTTTCTGGTGAAATAAAAATGTTCGAATTTAATATTCTAGTTCGATTTATATGGCTCAAAATGTTCGGCTGCGATAAAATTTGTAATCATTCACTGATCAATTTATGACGAGAAAGCCCAAGATGTAATGGATAACAAAGATATAAATCATCAAGAAAATAAGATTCGGTTGGGGAAGGGCGGATTTAAATTTTAAACGTCCATGTTAAATGGGTATGACTAAATACTGTTTTGCTAAACTTTCTTGCTAAACTGTATGTTCCTTACAAACTTTCTACTATTTTTCGCTTCTAAACCTACTCATTAATTAAATCTCAAAGAAACCTCTATTTTTTAAATTTTTTTTAGGTTGTTCACATTTTACACCCAATTACAAAAAAATCGCTATCCAATATTTATTCTGGTTTCCTAAAAATATATTTTCATATTTATGTATAAAACGCCCTCCTATGGATATAAATTTGTTAAATTTTGTAATTGAAAAATAAAATATAAGTTGTAATAAGCTAGTAAATATATTTTTTTTCTCCAATTATATTAAGTAAAAATAGAATTTTAAATTATTTGATATAAATAAAAAAAATGTTTTTGAAAAATTTTTTTTTAAAAGATATTATATCATCAAATTATGATTGATAATCATTAATTGCTTTTTAGCAAGACAGTTTAGCAAGACAGTATTTAGTCATACCACATGTCAAATACATAAGTTCTAGTTGTGATGTTAATATTACAAATAAATTGAAAGTCTTGTTGATGTTGGCCCCCTCTAAAACATATATAATTAAATAAATAATTGATAAAATTTTAATCCTGATATTCTATTATTTGCATTTGCAGCATCCACTTGCACCGGTAGGACCGAACCATCACCATAAATTCATAAAATCCCTTAAATAATTGATCCTAACAATTACTCTTGAAGGTTAGTAATTCCCTGGTGTCATAATCGATAAACATATTTTTTTTTTTGAAAATAGACATATATCAATCAATATTATGTAGTATAATTGTCATTCCACTGTCAAATATTTTCCTAAAATTTTAAAATCTTATATAAAATAATATAAAATTTTTGAGAAATAATTTATTTCAAAAATATTTTTTTGTGCACAGATTTCAAATTACTGGCATCTAAAAGGGCAAGATTATAATATTCTAGTATTTTAAATATAAATGGTTTGAATCTTCTTACTTCAATTAGCCCCCCCCTGTCTCTTCTTCTACTATCCCCTTCTATTTTTGTATCGTTAATTTGTAAATTATATTATGCTATTAAAAAATGGACGGTATTCCTTCACGAGAGTTATTAACAGTTCTTCTTACCAAACACTTTATCTATATTTTTACCTATCGAGGCGACGTGATGAGTCGAATCATGTGGCCTATTGGGTCATGTGATCCATGACGGCCAAGCCAATTCGACCCTGAAAATTAGCAACACTAGTCATTTACAGAAGTCTATGATCATTTAGCCATAATTTCTAGGATAGCATAGCATCCACATGGAGAGGGGTTTAAATTTTTTTTATATGGACGGATAAGTGAAAAGACTGATTGGTCTACTAATTGAAATCTTTTTTTTCTACGATAGGTGTGCTACTACAATTGTTTACTTTAAGATGAGTTAATTACCTATTTTATTATTTTCGTAAATATTATATCTATAAATGTTTGTTTGCATGTAATATGATATATAAATTTCAAAAATAAACTTTAAAAAATAATTATGCGGAAATCATATAGTTTCAAAAATGCTATAAATTATATATTTTATTAAAAAACAACTTTTTTAAGTATATTATGCTGAAATTTTTGTTTTTAAGGGATGAAAACGATAACTAAATTCAAAGCAAAACTTGAAAAACGTATTTTATTTAATGTTTTTTTAAGTTTAAATATATTTCAAAATAAAAATATTTATACAAAGAAGATAAAAATCTTAGAAAACAATATAAAAAAAAAATTTTTAAAACACATATTTAGAAAAATATGAATCTTGGCATGAATTGTATTAATTAATGTAGTTTATATGGAATGTTTCCAAAATTTTAAAATTAAAATTTATTTAACACATATATATTTTGAGTTTCTATCTCTTAATTTTATATTTATAACATTTTAAGATACAATAAAATAAATATCAGATGACACTTTTGCTTAAGTTTCGTTATCTTATCTTGAATTTGCTTTTTAATTCTAAATTAAGTTTCTAACACACTAAAAATACTTAAATTTGGTGAATATAATTAAAACCTCAAAAGCATTTTTATAGAAATTTTTTGTATTATTTTACTCAGTATATATATATATATTTTACCCCATTTTTATCAATTAAGATTAATATTTAATTGGTATATACTGCAATGCAAACTATACAATTTAAGTATTAAATACAGTATTGATTCAGTATTTTTTTTTAATTAGAAATTAACCAGCATAAAAAAAAACGTTTTCTTTTAATCGTGAAATTGGATTTGATAGTGAAAAAAAAATATTCTCACTGAATTTTTCCCATGTTAATGTTCAGAATAAATAATTATTTATGAAATTTGGAAAATTTAAGTGAGCCAAGAAAAGCGAGAAAGCTAAGAATGTCACTGAGGATATTAGTGAGATATAAAACCCTGGCGTTAGAAAAATTATAACAAAACTGAAATTTACGCCGCAGAAATTATTTTTTTTAAAATTAGTTTATCTTACGAGATCCGATTCATAGTCTGAAAAATTTTTTCCGATAATATTTTCCAAATTAAGGCAACAATAAATTTGCGGTAAGATTTGGTTGGGGCCAATGACATATAATAATACCTAGACTGACGATTCATTCATTAAAATGCATTTTTAAGCGTCGTTAAAAGCAAATCAGCTGGACCCGCCATTTTGGTAACCTTTATAATAATTATTTTCATGTTAAAAACTAATATTAAATTGATAACTTACTTTCTTATTATCTCGATGAACAGGCAATTCTTTAATAAAGTTTGCATCAGATATAATATAAAATTAGGCTCTCGTTTAAAATTTTAATATTTATTACAGTAACCAAGATGGCGTCTCTAGCTGATTTGTATTGATGTACACTTTTAATGAATGAATCGTCAGTCTAGGTATTATTATATGTCATTGGTTGGGGCATTTTCATATGAGTGACATTATTGTTAATTTTTTTGATATTTGATCAATCATTAGAATAAAAATGTATAAAATTGATTTTTTTTTAAAAAAAAAAATTTAGGTCCCGGCGGTGCGCTGCCGTTATAAATATCGACGGCGCGCAGGCGTGGTTTTCATAAATGGCGGAGTTTTTGGCGGGATTAAAAGTCTTACATATGCTCATCTTTCGAAATATGGCCCTAGTTTGATATAATTTGCCAAGGAACAGTTTTTTAAACATAAATGATAAAAACTACCCATTAGTTATGAAATATATAATTAACACATGTTCTTTAAAGTTTTAGCTAAATTTTACAGGAAGTTTATGAATTCGGTACGAAAGAGCGAAAAGCAAAAGAGCGAAAAAAAAATATGATAAAAATGTTCCCATAATTTATAACTCCACTAAAAAAAAGTCATGAATTCTATTAATAAATATTATTATTTTGATTGTTATATATGGTAAATATTAAGTATTTTTTTTTAAATATATGATAAAAATAATTTCTTAAAATTATTCTTAATGCCATTTTGTTCTATATATTTTTAATCTAATCTATATCTTTTATCACTGGCCTAAACATTCAATAAAGCAAGGTGTTGTTTTAGTTTTTCAAATATTTCATTCTATTATGTTGAGAAAAATCTAGAATTAAAAAGACAGTATTAAATATATCTTTACATTCACTTTTTTGATAAGTGTCCCTATCAAAATAATAGGCCTTCGATTTTTTATTTTTAGTGTTAAAGCCTTCTATATATATTAATAAATTATTTATCTTCTTAAGTATTTATACATTGGAAAGAAGGATTAATCATTTACTTGACAATCATTAAAAGATCCTAACTTGTCTTCGAAAATTATTTCATATCTCTTCATTAAAAGCGATATATCTTCAAGCATTTTATGTAATTCATCACTATCAATAGCAACCATTGGGTTTTCATCAATTGCTAATATTGTTTTCAACCATTAATTCCGTGGAATTTACATACCTATCAGATTAAGGGTTGAATTATCTTGTTTTACGGTTAAATCCGTCCCTTCTATCTCATGAATTTTTTTTCGAGCATTATTAGCAATATTTTTGTTTTTAGTCTCATTTAGGGCCGAACCATTATGTATGGCAAAAATATTCCAATAATTATTGAAAGGACCTAACTGAATAATCTAATCCCACCCCATCATGGTCTCCACATCTCTCTTCACTACCCATAAATCTAGGGAAAATGTGGTATCATGGAGAATTACTCCCAACTTAGTTTTCCCCAAAACTACAATTTCAGACCCATTAAATTGTCTGACACACATAGATCCTTTTTCAAGTTTACCCCCAGGCCAATACTTTTAATAATTTCTTCTAGACATTATGGAAATGCTAGCCCCTGTGTCGAACAACATGTCGATGTCCCTCGAGTCAACTCTTACAGTAACTCTCGGACAAGGACAAGGTTCGATTAATCTCTCAGTCATTAAAATCTCATATGTTTTAATTGACTGATCAATATTTATCTCATTTGAAACATCAGTTTCATGAGAATTCCCATTTGAACATAAATTCAACTCATAATTTAGTGGTTCATTAACAATATTCATATATTTTTTTTCAATATAACTGGGATATTTTTCCCATCTGAAAGTATTAACATCCCTTTTATCGGAATATTTAACAATACCCTTAGGATATTTCTCCCATTTAAAATTATTAGAATCTTCATTATTTTTATTTTTCTCATCAGGATAAAAAAAAAGTTCTGTTAAAACCACGGCTTTTACGAGAATCATATCTCATTTCAGCTTGGTTATTTACTTTATTACTATTTCTACCTCCCGATCTCCTACTTACTATATGATTACACTTGCAATCATATAGTCAATTTTGGATACAATTTATGGCTACATGTCCCGGTTTGTTACATTTAAAACACAAACGCGATTTACCATAATTCGATTGTGGAACCTCACCTTTATTCGTGTTGGTACGAAATTTTTCTAACATTAGAATTTTCTAGTGTCGATTTCCTTAACGGAAAACCCTCACGATTGACTACACAGGTCCCTACCTTATGGCCCTTATACCCACAGCGGGTATATTTCAAATCTTCAAAGATTTTCTTATTACCAGAAAAACCATTTTTTCCATTTAACCCCGTCGGACCACATATTTGGCCTTTATTACCATTACTATTCGCAATAACCAATTTATTTATATCTTGATATATAATGGTAATCACTTCTTTTATTTCTTTCAATTCTCGGAGGATAACTACAGATCTCTCCACAATATCCAAACGATCATCGTTATTACATTCCAAAGTTTCTACCATTTCTGGTCTGCCGTTCCTGATTTCATTTAAAACCACATTTAAATTACTTTCCAAGACCGAATTTTTTTTCCAACAATCAGCGGACGCTATAGCGTCTCTTTTCCAATTACCATATACTTTGGTCGCAACCAGAGTACATTTTACAAACAAAAATTTTATTATAATAGATAACCCACATATTATGATCAATAATAAAATTGTCACTAATGCATTATTTACATCAAATTTATCAACCATAAGATGCAAATTTTGATAAGTAATACCTGGATACTCCGAAATTTTATTAAATAAGCTAGGCTCAATATCAAAATTAAACATAAAGCCCATCTCATTATATGGAAAATTTATATTACTTTAAATCGGCCGTGGTAAATAAGTGATTTTAGAATATTTAAAAATACCTTCTTTTTTTTTTTTAAAAAAACTATTTTTTTAAATTAATTAAATTTCTAAAAAAAATTTAAACAAAAATGTGATTTGCGTTATGTCCTGAGGAGAAATACAAAATATAAAATAAAAATATTGTTTTTACCTTATAATAACGAATAACCTTGGTATCAAGACTATCCTGTAGTCACGGTCAACAACTGTCAAAAATTAATAAAAAAGAAAACAGACAATGACAAAAAAAGAAAATTAAATAAAAATAACTATCAAAATTAAGCAGAAAACGCTAACAAAATACGCAGAATATTCCATTCGCTATTATTTTACAGATATATATTTTATATGATTTTTTTTAATAAATTATTTATTTTGTTATATTACATTATATATAATGGCTATATTACTATTGGCATAATTTTATATATATTTAATTTTAATATGCAATATGAATTATGTCTATTCGATTTTTATATTTTATGATTCGCATATTATATCATGATTGAGTTATTAATATTATATATTATTCATTTGCAAATATAAATGATTAATGCTTCTTTCCAATGTATAAAATAAATACTTAAGAAGATAAATAATTTATTAATATATATAGAAGGCTTTAACACTAAAAATAAAAAGAGGCCTATTATTTTGATAGGAACACTTATCAAAAAAGTGAATGTAGAGATATATTTAATACTGCCTTTTTAATTCTAGATTTTTCTCAACCTAATAGAATGAAATATTTGAAATACTAAAACATCACTTGCTTTATTGAATGTTTAGGCTAGTGATAAATGATATAGATTAGATTAAAAATATATAGAACAAAATGAAAAAATTAATATTAAACATTGAAAAATACTTAATATTTACCATATATAACAATCAAAATAATAATATTTATTAATAGAATTCATGACTTTTTTAGTGGAGTTATAAATTATGGGAACATTTTTATATTTTTTTTTTCGCTCTTTCGTACAGAATTCTTTAAAAATTATCAATAATTAATAAATTTATTTATTTATTTTATTTTTTTTTAAGACTTCCTAAAAATTTATTAAATTATTAAAATAAGAAAAAATTACATTTGAAATAAAATGGATAATATATTGTATAATATATATTTTAGGAATTCTATAGGCGCCTGTCTAATAAAAAATATCCACAAGATTATATCATAATTCACAAACAGAGGAATTCTCCCTTACGGTTATCGTCGTAACGTGATTCTTCGAATGGATAAGCTATGGTTAATATTTTTGATTTGTCTAGTCTTGTTCTTTTATTCATTTAGTAACTACCGGAGTCGTCTATGGATACCTACGAGATTGAATATTTCATTAGACAAATCTGAGGATTCCAAGGCAGAACTGTTAAATACTTATTTATTAGGCTCTTCAAGTGTTCATAATTCGAATATATTATCGAAAAATAAATCATCATCGTATACTCAGTATGCTGAAAGCCAATCTATGGTGCCCGTTGCAAATGATGTGGTGGAAGACATAAATAAAACTATAATAATTTGCTCTATAAATAACAGATACATTGGATGGGAAGCATTAGGGCGATTGGGTAACATGATGTTTCAATATGCTGCGATATATAGTTTGGCGAAGGACACGGGAAAAATTCCAACTTTATTGGTATCAACTGAATATTTAGAAGGAGCAAAAATGTCCGATTATTTTAAATTAAGTTATCGAGAAATGCCTGAATTACCAATGAATTGTTATAGTAGAGCTTCTGCCTTAATTGGATCTAATGGGAGTTTAGAAAAAAGATTTGACCTTCTAGCATATAATACCTTACTAATCGATAAAGTAAAAAATGATGGATATAATGTATTCGAAGGGTACCCTAATTCATACAAATATTTTGAAAAATATAAAGAAGAAATCAGGAGGGAGTTTACTTTCAGGAAGAAAATCAAATCTAAAGCTGACAGATTTTTGGGAAAAATAAAAGCGAGCTATTTTGAGTCTATTAACCGCCATGCCGAGTCTAAAAACCGACAGCTGATATTCGTATCCATTCACATTCGAAGAACGGACATGATCAGATGGATGGTATATAACCAAGGCACAATTTCGGGATTAGCTTACATCAAAAAAGCTATGAATTGGTTTAAGGGTTATTTTACCAATTTAAATGTTTACTTGAATGATAACAGATCCAATAAATCTCTAAACTATCATTTCGCGTTTATAGCGTGCAGCGATGATTTAGAGTGGTCCCGCGAAAATTTGGGAAATATCGACAATATATATTTTTGCCCGGGAATTTCACCGATCGACGATTTAGCCATACTCGCATCTTGTAATCATACGATTCTAACGCAAGGCACATATGGGTGGTGGGGAGCCTACTTGAGAGGAGACTTGGGAGATGGTAGCATAACAATTTACCCTTCAAACTTTTTAGCAAACACATCCATTCAATTTATCAAAAAAAATTTTACGTATGCTAATTATTATCCCCAAAATTGGATAGGTCTGCCTATATAAACGAGTTATTTTTGTGTTGGGGTACAAATCATAAAAAATATACAATAAATTTATTCCCTAATGAAAGATTATATTATGTTTTATATACATTAAATAAATTTATTTATAGTATATTATATGTATAATAAATTATATACATCCACATTTTTATGGTACATATAGTAAAATAAAATAACCTAGTTCGTATTTTATTGCAATTAGTTTTATATATAAGTTAAGTTGTTTTAAAAGCGCAATTAGGTTTTTAAAATAAATTAATGGTTATCTTGAGGGAAAAACTCTAAATCTCATATTCCAGTAACCTAGTTCGTATTTTATTGCAATTAGTTTTATATATAAGTTAAGTTGTTTTAAAAGCGCAATTAGGTTTTTAAAATAAATTAATGGTTATCTTGAGGGAAAAACTCTAAATCTCATATTCCAGTAACCTAGTTCGTATTTTATTGCAATTAGTTTTATATATAAGTTAAGTTGTTTTAAAAGCGCAATTAGGTTTTTAAAATAAATTAATGGTTATCTTGAGGGAAAAACTCTAAATCTCATATTCCAGTAACCTAGTTCGTATTTTATTGCAATTAGTTTTATATATAAGTTAAGTTGTTTTAAAAGCGCAATTGGGTTTTTAAAATAAATTAATGGTTATCTTGAGGGAAAAACTCTAAATCTCATATTCCAGTAACCTAGTTCGTATTTTATTGCAATTAGTTTTATATATAAGTTAAGTTGTTTTAAAAGCGCAATTAGGTTTTTAAAATAAATTAATGGTTATCTTGAGGGAAAAACTCTAAATCTCATATTCCAGTATTATTTAGAACTGTTCAACGGACAGAGAGTTCGGATCTGACTTATTGACAAATATTCATTGGAATATGGTTATATTTTAAATTAAGGGGAGCATGCATGCTAATTTTTTCAATCATATTAAAAGACACCTGCTTACCTAAGTAGATGCTAAAAAAAAGATTTATATATAAGTATGGCAACTTTAATATTTCTCCAAATAGCAAAATCCCTTCATTTACACTAAAAAAAAATATTTAGCGCATAAAAGTAAATTATAAAAGCGTGAACCCAGATGGTATTTTAGGAACAAAATACAATTAAAAATATAGAAATAAAATGATTGCTCTTTTTCAAGGACTCAATAATGTTTTATTATTTTTTTTAATTTTGATCTTATTTTATTCAATGACATATAGTAATACCTAGACTGACGATTCATTCATTAAAATGCATTTTTAAACATGTTTGAATGAAAATCAGCTGAGGCCGCCATTAATACCATGTCGATTACCCCGATGATAATTTGTCTTACAAACAATTAAATAAGATTAATTTTACTTGGTCTGGCCATACCCTAGCATTCTGCATGGCAGCAACATAAGAATCACAAATAGTGATGGATTACAAATAGTAAAAGGATTTAAGAAATAAAAAAAGGGATATAATAAGGGTTTGGGGCTGCAGATTGGTAAATTATAAAAATATATAAATATGACATGTGTCATGTGTCATGTATCATGAGATAAGCTAATATATGTTAGGAAGTTAGATGGCTATTCAAAATAAAGAAAAAGAAAAATGAGAATAAAAAAATAATATATATATTTCCATACTAACAATATGCAAATAAATCAGTAATAAATCACTAATATTGTTTTGGAAGACTGATTGGCAAGCTTCAATCAAATTAGGATACCTTATATTTAAACAAAAAAAATTGATTGATTTGAATTTTCTTTTCAAATTGCCCTTAATTATAATTGAATTGAAACAAAATTTAAAATAATATACAGCACTTATTGTGTAATTACAAATTGCATAGCATTTTTAGAGGTACTATTATAAATCATGAATATAGACAGCGTCTATAACTTCTAATATTATGCAATTACATTGACCTCCATAATATAATATTAAATATAGGAAAGTTATAATAATATAGTATTCAAATAACCTATCCTTTAAAATATATAAGATATTAAAATATAACATATCTTCTTTCCCACAAAGTTAAGATCTTCTACCAATCTTTATATTTACCATAAGTTCATCTATTAATTTCTACTGTTTCCTAACAGTATAATGTCATTTGTTTTTATTGATTTGGTTTTTCTATCTTCATTCATAGTTGGTCGGGATGTTTTAATACGGTTTTGTACATTTTTTTCTTCTTTCCTTTTTCAGGATTGTGATGATGGCTGATTCCTCTAGTACACGACAACTCCTGGCAATGGCCCCTACACTTTTTGAGCGAATGAAGTAAAATACCCCCATGAAAAGTACCCCCTGAAAAGTATCCCCCCTCCCTTGAAAAAAGATAATTATGACACCCATAAATTTCAAAAATAATTTTTATTGCATCAATTTTACATATATAATATAAATAAAATGCAAAAAATATATACTTTATAAATATTATTTTTAAATTAATAATTTAGATAAATTAAGGGAAGAGAAAGCGAAAGAATTTATAAATTCCTCAGTTAATTGTTTAAATTTTTTTCCATTGATAATATGGTTAAATTATTGAGAAAAGAATCTTTCATGTGCGAAGTCTTGTTTTAATTAATTTAATGTTGTGGGAATGGTTAATAAATATTTATTTAAAATTCTTAAATTAGGGAAAGTAGATAAATTTTAAACGATAAAATAAATCAATAGTTTTTCCAATCTGAATCGTAAGTCCCTGAATTATCATCATCATTAGAAAAAGCTAAATAATGTATTAGTAAAAATATTTTTAAATAAATTTACAATTCTCAGAATCTGACAAATCTTTAGATTCTTGAACCTCTAGGTCATGAGTAATAATTACATTCCCAATTTTGGTCATCTTATAAATATTTCAAAAATATTTCTTCGAAAATTTGACTTGAATTTAAATTGTAAAATTCACAGATATCCTCGATATTCTTCAATAATTGATTTTTCTGCCATTCCCTTTGGCGTAAAAAATGATGTTTGATGTAAAAATTTTATGGAATCATCATTAAATCTTTCGTTAAACTGCATAATAATTAAATTGAGTGAAGCATAAAACACACCTATTTTAAAGCTAAAAAAATTTCTATATATAATGATGAAAGTATATATACCTCTCCTTTTTGGATTGTAATGTTTGAAGTCTAGAACTTTAAAATCAAAAGGTAGATTTCTCTCCTTCATAAAATCTTGCGCCTTTGAAAAAACATCCAAAAATTCAGTGTTATTATCTCTTAGATTAAAAAATAATTAAGACAATAATTTATATTATACTTCTTAAATTAATCAACCAATCTTTTGCCAATTGAATTTGATTTATTGCATACCCTATATCCTTCAAAATATTTTGCAATTTTGTACAAGCCAAACTTGTTATCAACAATATTTTATCCAAACACAAATTGATAAGAAAATCAAATTTTTCTAATCTAAAGACTATAGCACTATGGAAGTGGCAGGATCTTCAGAATCCTTTAAATTTGTTAAAGCTGCCATCAAGGCATCATTTGGAAAAAATTAATGACGATAGCCAACTTCTAAATAAAAAAAAACATTTAAAATCTAAATAAATAAGGAACTATTACCGAGTGTTATTCTTGACGCGTAGAAATCTTTGCGATTTTTTTCAGATCATTACACTGAAATTTTTTGAGTACCTCATATCTTTTTACACAATTAAAATAGACATAAATCTCATCTAGTATTCCCTAGAACATTTCGAAATTCTTTAATTAATTGGCAAATTGAACAACGATTAAATTTAATCGATAAGAATAACACCAAATAAAGGCTGCCTTTGGCGCCTCTGCTCTAATCAAGGCTTGAGCACCATTAATTTTTTCACTCATGTTTGAGGCGCCATCATAACTTTGCCCAACTAGATGTTCAAGGAGTAAATTCATCGAGACAAGTTTGGATATTATATTATGCTTTATATCGAGACCTGTGGTATTTCCCGTACAATATATGTCAATTAGTCTTTCAACAGGCTTCGACGTCTCACTATTTTCAAAATATCTTATTATCAAAGCTATTGTTTCTGATTTCAAAACATCGTATGTGCCATCAACTATGATTAAAAAGCACCTGTTAATTGTAATCTCATTTTGAATTTTTTTTATAACCATATTTTTCATGGTTTCAATGAGAATGTTTATGTTATTTTATGATACTAGGTTAGAATATAATTTCGTTTTTAATCCCTTATTTTTTTATCCTTTTTTCTTTCTTTATTTTGCTGTATATACATTTTTAGTATAGGTTCAGAATCTGCAATAAGCTTAATAAGGGCCATCATATTGCCTTCTTGTTGCCTGTTCCCCCAGAAGGCTTGGTTACGAGATATTAAATAATCTAAACATCTTATTATAATTCTTATAATAGAATGGTTATTATCTACATATTCTTTCTGGGGTGTTATAAATTTTAATATCGAATTTTTATTACGAGAAAACCTTTCATAATCGGCCATCATATGTGCCTGTGATTGGGGGAGGGGGATTATTACATTTATAAACCAGAAATCACATGATCATGATGGATGTAAAAAAAATACCCCAACTCAAATTTACTGAAGCAGTTGCTTCGGACCCCCCCCCCCCTTCCTCTTCCGTTGCAAGGGCCCCTGACTAAATGTCACGATTTAGCCGTGATTCTCACGTTTTCATACCTAATTTTTTACTTATCCACGTTTTGTCACATTTCACGCTTTTCTCACGTTTTTTTAGCAAATTAAAATAGTCACACTTAGTCTCACACTTGTTCTCAAGTTTTTATAAAATTTTTAATTAATTTTATTTAAAAATATTTTGTATTTGTTAATAGTCCAACTAACCAATCATATTCATTGATCATTACCCACAACACAAATTCAATTTTTAGAAAGTTTATCAAGTATAATTATAATATGAATTTAAATAACTATATATTTCTTTTATGGATTTTATAAATCCTATATTAAAACTCGTAAAATTTTAAATGAAATAAATTAATTGTTCATACACTCACAAATTATAATTAGTTTAATTTAACTTAGATATTGCTAAATTTACAATCAAATTAAGAAATATCTAAAAACATTAAATGCTAGAGTTGATTAATTAGATTCACGATCATTTTTATAAATAATTAAGTAAAATTAATTTATAATAGAGATAATATATATTCAGTAGATCAGATTATTATTTGTAAAAAAATGCTAATTTATAATTTGATGCCATCTGTATCTTCTTAAAATTCATATAATCTAAAAATTTATTAATATATCTGCAACAAAATATTTCAGGAAGCACATCCTCAAGTTACAATTCTCAAGATAAAAAATTGAATATAAACAAACAAATATGTGGAAAATATATAAGGTAAGTTATAATAAAAGTTGAGAACAAAAATATGAATGGTTAAAGCAGCATTCAGGGTCGACTGTAAAATGTGGTATATGTGCATCACTCTTTTCAATAATTCATAGTGGAGAGTATGGTATAATCAGACATGAAATCTAACAAATATAAGCTGGCAAATGAACAATCAAGAACAAATACTTCTATATCATCATACGTAACGAAATATTTAAGAATGAAACCTTGTCTGTTATTGCTGAAACAACATTCATATATCATTTCATAAAACATTCCCATTGCTATATTTCGGTTGATTGTTCAAGCAAGCTATTTTACACACTTTTTCCTGACTCTTAAATTGCATTGTGGCAGAACAAAAGGCTCTAAAATAATATTAAATATTTCGGACCCAAGAACAAAGGCAAATATTATAAAAGATCTAAAAAACAACCGTTTTTAATATTAACGGATGCATCGAATAAAGGTATTATAAAAACATTTCCCTTATTACTTAGATACTTCTACAAAAAGAATGTAAATGTTAAATTACTTAAAATTTTTCGTCTGACAGTGAAACCTCTAAAGACATGTCTAGATGCTGCTAGAAAATTTAAAAATCGTTGGACTTGATATTGCTAATGTAAAGGCCTATTGTGCAGATAACACATTTGTAAACTTGGGAAAAATCAAAGTATTTGGACAGAATTGAAAAGCCATATTAATAATATTAAACCAATAGGTTGTATATGCCACATTCTTCACAATTCGTTTAAAAAGGCCATAATTTTTCTCAAATATGCTTCTCTTCTCTTCTCTTCTCTTCTCTTCTCTTCTCTTCTCTTCTCTTCTCTTCTCTTCTCTTCTCTTCTCTTTCTCTTCTCTTCTCTTCTCTTTCTTTCTTTCTTTCTTTCTTTCTTTCTTTCTTTCTTTCTTTCTTTCTTTCTTTCTTTCTTTCTTTCTTTCTTTCTTTCTTTCTTTCTTTCTTTCTTTCTTTCTTTCTTTCTTTCTTTCTTTCTTTCTTTCTTTCTTTCTTTCTGTCAGAATTACTTCACCATGTTCCAACACCCTGGCTTACATTAATCCCAGCGATTGAGCGGATGCTTAAGTATTTCAACCCTTTAAAAAATATTTTTTTATCATTATCAGCAACCCTACCAATTTTGAAAATAATTTTTGAAGATGATTTTGCAGAGGCATATTAAGGTGTTGTCCTTAACATTGGCACTTTATTAAATAACATAAATTAATTGCAATCTGAAGATGTATTAGCAATATATATGCATGATCTTATCCTACAAAAATTTATTAAATTTAAAAATTCAACAAAATTTTTATGGGAGAATTTCTAAAAATGTTTTACAATATAATAATGATAAAAAAGGCAATAAATTTCCAAAATGAATCAAAGATATTTATAAAAATATTATAGAATATGCAGAAAAACGTTAAGATATTACAGATAATATAGGGAAATATATTATCCTGACATTAGAAAAAATCCAGAATTTGAACAATTACAAAAAATATTAATTATATAATACCAAACATAGATACAGATATTCTCTTTGAGAAATATTTACAATTTTATTCCTGTTACGAAGAAAAATTATCAAAAAAAAATCACATGAATACCCAAGAAAAATGGATGGATTTTTTTTCTAATAAAAACTCACCATTGTTAGGAAAATATGCAATTTTATTTTTATATTCCGCATTCAAATGCTTCATCAGAAAGATAGATTACAGTTACCATCATTGGAAGCTGAACTTATAGTTAAACAAAAAACTATTTATGTAAAGTGTTTTCAGCCGATCTCCACAGTGCTGATGGCAAATCTTTATTACCTCTTTTAAAATCATCCATAAAATATAATAATTAATATTATGATATATTTATACACATGGGAAAATTACACATCATAATTGTTATTAATAAATCAAAAAAGAATTTTCACTGTCTTAGAAATTTTGTTAGATAAAATTTAACATTAACCTAGATGAGTATACTAAATTACCACGGCCGAAGGCCGAGCAAAAGCGAGCCGAAGTCCCGTAAATTGGGGGGTATGGGGGGGGCGAAGCCCACATTAATATTATAAAAGAAAAACTCACGTTTTCAAGTGAAGAATATCTAGCAACCCTGCTCTGTGGCCTAGTCGGCAAGAGCTTCGCTTACTTATCCCATATTCATGGGTTCGAATCCCGGGAATGGTCATGTTCTTTTCTTAATCTAACTTGGTGGTTCTATCCTTGGGGGGATGATATATAGGAGGCCGGACTCCACCACGTGATTCTATTATAATATATTAAATAATAAGGATCTTATTACATTTTTTGGTCGGTGTTTAGCAAATTAGGTTGGTATTTAGAATATTACCATACATTCGCTTGGTAGTAAGCATCATTAACCTAATTATATATGTATTCAATTTAATAATTTGGAAAACACATTAGATCATGGAATATACCCTTTTTTTTACTAAGGCAAAAAAATCCTGGACAAGTGGAACCAGGGCAAAAGTATTTTTAGAAAATTCCATTGTTGATAACAAGTTTGGCTTGCACAAAATTGCAAACCATTTCGAAGGATATAGGGTATGCAATATATTAAATTCAATTGGCAAAAGATTGCTTGATTAATTTGAGAAGTATAATATAAATTATTGTCTTAATTATTTTTTAATCTAATAGATAATAACACTGAATTTTTGGATGTTTTTTCAAAGGAGCAAGATTTTATGAAGGAGAGAAATCTACCTTTTGATTTTGAAAGTTCTAGACTTCAAACATTACAATCTAAAAAGGAGAGGTATATATATTTTCATCATTAAATATAGGAATTTTTAGCTTTAAAATAGGTGTGTCTTATGCTTCACTCAATTTAATTATTATGCAGTTTAACGAAAGATTTAATGATGATTCCATGAAATTTTTACATCATTTTTTTACGCCAATGGGAATGGCAGAAAAACTAATTATTAAAGAAGATATCGAGGATATCTGTGAATTTTATAATTTAAATTCAAGTCAAATTTTCGAAGAAATGTTGAAGTTTTTAAATATTTATAAGATGGCCAAAATGGGGAATGTAATTATTACTCATGACCTAGAGGTTCAAGAATCTAAATATTTGTCAGATTCTGAGAATTGTAAATTTATTTTAACTTAAAATATTTTTACTATTATATTATTCAGCTTCTTCTGATGATGATGATAATTCAGGGACTTACGATTCAGATTGGAAAAACTATTCATTTTACCTTATCGTTTACTTTACTTTAAAATTTTTCTACTTTCCCTAATTTAAGAATTTTAAATATTTATTAACCATTCCCACAACCTCATGTACTGCCGAAAAAGTCATGAGTAAAATTAAATTAATTAAAACAAGACTTCGCAGTACCATGAAAGATTCATTTCTCAATAATTTAACCATATTATCAATGGAAAAAAATTTATTTAAACAATTAAATACTGATTTCGCTTTCTCTTCCCCTAATTTATCTGAATTATTAATTTAAAAATAATATTTATAAAGTATATATATTTAGCATTTTATTTATATTATATATTAAAAATTGATGCAATAAAAATTATTTTTGAAATTTATGGGTGTCATAATTATCATTTTTTCAAGGGGGGGATCCTTTTCAAGGGGGTACTTTTCATGGGAGTATTCTGCTTCATTCGCTCAAAAAGTGTAGGGGCCACTGCATCTGGCAATCTTGTCACAGAGGCTTTTCAAAAACCACGATTTTTCAAATATATATTATAAATATATTTGGTAGGGCCTATCCAAATGAAAAATTAACAAAATACAAATTTGATAGGTAGTACTTTAAGGTAGTAAGCATCATTAATCTATAATTAAATACCTAATATTTGCAACAACTGCATACATAAATATATACTTCGTAAATATTTGAGTGAAATAAATAATATCATTAATTCCTTAATACAAATTCGTAACTTGAAACCCATTTTTAGAATTAAATTGATCATTTTTAAAATTTATAAGAAATCAGAAAGTAGCTGATTACGTAACTAATTACTTTTGAAATATAACTAATAACTAGTAATGTTTCAAAACTATCTTTTAACAACACTTAAAGATATCTCATTTGGAGAAGAAGAGGAAAAAACACCCATTGTTAAATCTTATGATTTTAAAAGAATATAAATGTTTAAAATAATTAATATCGTTATTAAATGTATGTTTTCTAATATACTTTCTAGGAGTAAAAAGGAAATATTGAGTATGAGAAAAATTTAACTTTATTTTCGATATAGTGCATATATATAAATTTATATTTTAAAAAGTAAAACACTCTTGTTTTTGACAAAAATTAAGCGAGATGTTTAAATTTAGGTTTAAATTTAATAGATTAGTTTTTTTTAGCGAGTTATTTCATCCCACATTGGCCCTTTATATAAGTTCCGATGAACAAGATATGTCCATTTGTAAGATCTTGTACAAAATAGAGGAAGGGTCTATCAGCCTTAAAACTTTTAGTGATAGGTAAAGATAACTTTATCATAACCACACCAGTGGCAGCTGCTGCCTCTGTTCCTTTTTCGTTAACTTCAATAACCGCCTTGTGAAATATTTCGCTAATGCACAATCCGGAAGAGTTATGGGGTCCTGTTAAGCCGAAAAAATCTGACGATCCTCTAATTATCATAAAATAAATAAATTAAAATAACAATTTTATCATTATAGGAAAAAAAAGGTGTGATGCATTTAATATTATCGATTATCATCAATTAAATCTTATATTCTAATTTATAAATATTTACTCGAATATATTTCTAAGACCGAGATTTTTTAGCGTCTCTGACAGAGTGACATATAAGCTTGTTTTAAATACTGGCAAAGTAATATGCATCAAGGTATCCTTTACAGTTTAAATTAGTTAAGTTAAGGATTCAAAGGATAGCACTTTGATCAAATTTGGCAATCCTTTTTGTTCAGGAAGTACAAAGAACATAGCTAAATTCGGGTTGGCATATTGAATACTGATAATTTTGATCTTTTGATCTGGAGCGAAGCTTGGCTTGTCTTCTATTTTCTTAAGTTGTGTTTCGCCATATTGAACTTTATTAGTACTATGCATCATCTTTACCTTTTCGAGTTCTCCGTCATCTCTCGTGAAAACTTTTTCAAAAGTGAGTCTATATAAGAAAATTAGTATATATTTGCCAAGAAATAAAGTATTATAATAATATTAATGATAGATGGTCAGACTATTCTTAACTATGAATAATCTTAAGTACAATAACACTAACTCCGTGAACTTCATCAAAAATACTATGTAAAGTTTTATATAACACATACATCGTGTTCACAATTGAACTTTTACCATTTTTTTGTTTTAGCAATTAAATCTGTCAATTCTAAAATATAATTCAATGCAGTTTTAAAGACTGTGAGAGAAATAAATTCTTCCAAATTATTTGAGATTATATCTACCAGAGTTATGCATATTCAAATGTGAGCAAACAAAATTCCAACTATCCAAACATATGAACATAAAGGTTTTTATGGGTTTTAATGGTTTTCAATAAAGATGAAAATGATTTGAACAGAGTTGCTATAAATGGGTAACTCAATATTTTAGCTAGAAGAATATTATCTAATCGTAGAGATTTCGTTAATAGATGTTCAAAACCTTTACGCCGTCTGTTAGCAAAATCGTATAGTTTGCACAATATATTTCCTAATATAATATAATTTCGAAGTTAGCCACGGCGCTCTAAATTAACCCTTTTAACAACACTAGACTTGAGTTCTATCGAAATTTACTCCATATGTTAATCTAACAAAAATGATAGAGTGTGCAATAATTCAATGAGAGAAAAAGAAGTTTATAAGCCGATCATTTACTATTACAACATTTAAAGTCAAATTAAAATAAAATGTTGATATTTTCATTGTTTTTATCGAATTGCCCATAATTTGTGTTCTATGATAGTTCTTTATCCAACTTTGAATATGCTTAAATTTTGTAACTCCTCATTTGATGAAATATTTGCAGAAAATATTGATAAATTTATCCCTCACATTTTCCTTAAAAAATTTTTTTTTGAATTAGTTTTTAGGGAATTGATTGATTTATTTTCTAAACAAAAAGGATGTGCATAGAACTCACTCTGGTTTAGAATTCACCAATTACTTTTAAAGTAGATAGTATCCACCAAAACAATTTTCGTGGCTGAACTTAAAATTTTTCATCCAGGTATATTCCATTAGATATCTCTATGGTTATGTTTTGATAGTTTTTCAGAGTTTGAGTAAATTTTTGAACAGCGGAATTTAGATGTTATTTCATAGGATCCCTTAAGTATGTCTCCATAATGTAGAGTGTTAAACAACTCCTTAAACGTTTAACCTCCAACCGCCAACATTCAAAGTGTCAATGCACGACCAATGTTAAAGGGCGAAAATATCATATTCTTTTGCTTCGTTATAAGAATATCATTTTTGTGGCCAGCATTAATGTCTTGTAGAGAATTTAACAATTGAAAAGTTAATTTTTGGTTAATCTCTCCTAGATGTGTCGTTTCCAAATTACTATTTAGGGCGGGAATAGAAGTACAAAGTAGGTACACGTTAAGGATAGCAAAAGATGCTATTAACATATTTTATAATAATGAAAATAGTTATATATTTTTTTTTATCTTCCTTTACCATATTGATTCGTATTTTTTAGTGGATTTTTACCTTTATAAAATTATTTAAAACATGATTTTGTAAAAATATGCTTTTTTTTAGAAAAAAAAATATTTTGTAAAATACATTTATAATATGCTTAAATTTATTTGTAAATTATTTGTCATATATCTGACCTTCATAGTTAAACATTACCAAAACATGTTTTTATTTATTTATCTTAAGTTCCATCTCTTAGATTCTTTTGCACTGGAATTGTAATGTAAAAATAGTTTAAAAGATTTGTTTTTTTCGGCGAAATAATCTTTTTATACTATAAATCTAATCACATGAAATCTTGAAAGTTATAATAATATATATAATATAAAAATACCAGAGAATCCAGTATCTAGATATAAAAATGTGGTATTGTATCTGTATCCAGATAATTTTTGATTAAAATATCGATATCTAGATATTATTTTGACGATGTATCTGTATCTAGATCCATTTAAAAATATCTTTTAAATAATCTACCCCGTTACGATGGTATGACTAATGATGGATAGATAAAAGCAATTTTAAGAAAATTTTAAATTTTTTAGCACTGGTTCTCTTTTAATGTATGTTTAATTTTCATTTTGATAATGTCTGATTATCATTATCATTATACTGTGTCGATTATCTTTATCATTTTGATTTACTCGTTTATTATTATCATTATATTTTGGTCGTCTCTTCGATTTTATAAACTATCTCATTAGTATTATTTATTTCTAAGTCGGTCCGGTTCCATCTAAAGCGATTTCTACAACTTTGTTTAAGCTTAACCAAGTCCTTAGGGTATCTTAAACGTAGTTCTTTATCTAATTATGACATCTTTAGTCTAGCGATTAATTGATCACGAGTTCCTAGTTCTACATTATCTCCAAATTCGCATCTTCAGGCTATCTTTTATAGTTTATAAATAACTCAAAACGGATTTTTTTAGACAGGCGACTTAATCTAATTAATTCTAAGATTGAACAGTTCTTTCATCTTTATAAAGTTGTTTTGCAATTTTTTGTATATATCTGCCCATACTACATCATCAATTTTTCTTGGAAAGAGTAAATTTTTTTTTATATCAGTTATAATATTTATTCCTCCATAAGCTATAAATAATTTTTACAAAATGGCGTCAGTTTGAGGGATATTTTTAACAATTCATTATGTTTCTATAGTCAATATAATATCGTCAATGGAACATTCATCTTTTAATTCCTGTAATATTATTTAATCCATAATTTCTAAACAGATCTATTATTATCTTTTATAAACAGAATTTTTTTTTTATAATTCTATATATAATATTTAACTTGACCAAAGATCGAAAACCGCGCGACTTTTTTTAACCTCGTCGCCATTTTTTATATATATAGTATTTTATAATTATGTAATTTAACTTCAAATATTATGCAATTACATTGACCTCCATAATATAATATTAAATGTAGGAAAGTTATAATAATATACTATTAAAATAACTTACCTTTAAAATATATAACGTAACCTTTAAAATATATAACGTAACCTTTAAAATATATAACGTAACCTTTAAAATATATAACGTACACTTTAAAATATATAAGATATTAAAATATAACAGGAGTTATGGGTCTGCTTCTTATATTTTAAGGGGGAGGGTATAGGCATCTGATAGGGGTAGGCTAGAGGGGTAAAGTAAATTTATTGAGTAATTATCAATTATATTTTTAGAAAAAATAGAGTAAAGTATATTTCTGTTTGTATTGCTTAAACACAGGCAACTTATATATTACATGCAAATACTACTAGATATGATTTTCCAAATAAAAATTATTTCTGGATAACTTTCTATTATATTTTTAAATGCAATTCAAAAGGGTTTTACAATTTACAACGTTTAATAATGGCAAATATTTTAATTATTATTTATAATGTTTCATTCATAAAAAAATAATTTTTTATTGTATTAATTTTATTATTTCTTAACATGTGCATTATAGAATATTACATGGCGCTTAGACAACAAGGTGGGGGGGGGGATCTCCCTTAAGCTAAAATTGCGTATTTTTAAAGAAATATAAAAGGTTTGCTAAATAAATTTATTTTCTATTTTTAATTAATATCCTTTTTTGATTATTCTTAGCCTGAACCAAATTACTAGATTCAATAGGATAGCCATTGATTTTTATATTATAATAAATGAATACAATATTTTGTAGATTTGATGGAAAACATTTCCATATTTAATATTAATTTGCAAATAAAATTGTTTAACTTGCAAAAACGGTTAAACTAGCATATATATATTCTTAATTTTTATATATTAAATAATTTTATTCTCAAATAAATTTAAAAATATGAAAATATTTTCCATCAAATATGCATAACACGGTAAATAATATGGTTACCCAATAATCTACAGTATTTTTCAAAAAATGATATTGATTTAGCAGAAATGTTTCATTATCTTTGTTGAGAAATTGAAACGCGCACGCAGCTTGGAGGAGGGTGGATTGGGGAAGGCAGGGAGAAAAATATCTTCCAAATCCAAAAAATTCAAATGTCGTGTAAAATTTTTCAAAATAATATTGATTTCTGCCTATTATCATATATATATATTTCAATTTAATTATGTGTCACATCCACATCAGATAAGAAATATATATTCTATGAATTATTAAATTTTAATCGGACTTATATTTATCTCCCATTTTAAAATTTACCAAAAAAACATTTAAAACTTTTCACTGTAAAAAGCAAAATATTTTAAATAAATGACATAGATTTGATTAAGAATTAAAACTTGAGAAAATTAGGAAAATGTAGATAATCAAAAGTACAGCTTTATAAATTTAAAATTTGTCACTCTACTGGAGCAAGACAAGCCTATCATTACAATATTAAAATTGTATCAGTCAGAGAAAACTATAAAAAACAATATTTATCCCTTTCTTGCATACTTTTCTGATTCAAATAAATTAAAAGTTCTTGATTAATTAACTGCACATGCAAATCTGTCAATATTATTACCGCAGACTTTAGAATCTATTTCAATATTGATAGATAAAAAATTAAATATTTTGCAGATTTTTATTGTATAGGATGTTAAAGTGTGTCATGATGATGCATCATTAGCTAATTGCTAATTATCATATAAAAGTTAAACATGATTTATAATCAGAAGCGTTGCTTATAATAATAATCTTAAATTACATTGCCACACAAAGAATATATGCTTATTAATTTGCTGCCATAGCCATGACACTCACTATATTGACTTATATCAGAATTTATTATGCTAGATAAATTGATAAAACAAAAACACTAAAAATCTTTAGAAGAAATTATGCAAATGTATTGAAGCCTTAAATTTACAAGACAGGGATGCCATATTAGAAATGAAACATTTTGTAACTATAAAATATGAACCAGAGTAATATGATATGATAAAAGAGATCAATTAAGATTTTATATAATATTGTCGCACCACCTCTAGTTGGTATATTATATCTTAAAATATAGTAGTTTGTAATAATATCAAACAACTAGTATTAAAAATTTAACTCGAAACTGTTTTTCAAATAAGAAAAAAATAGCAGAGAAGAAGAGTTATCTAATTGATTACATCCATTCTGGGATAAATTATATGTTAAATTTTAAAAATTATTTTTAAATAAATAGATGGGGTTATATATTTTAAAGCAATTTATTACATATACATATTTATTATCAAAAGCATTTATTAATAAAATTTATTTAAATGTTAACTGTATTATATTATATAACTGTCAAATACGTCTGTAAAAATGGTATTTAACCTAATATTTTATAACCAATTATATCTAATAGAGGATTGTAAACTATATGTTTACTTACTTTTAATATATAAATCTATTATACTTATTTGGATTTGGACCTTAATAATTTTAAGAAGAGGCATGGTAATTTAAATTAAAGATTAATAATATAGTTGATTAGTGATTTTGAACTCGGCTAATTAGAATATTAAATTTGTTAATATTTAAATAATATTTATTTAATAGGGTTATATAATAATTTAAAAAATAAAAGTCAATAAAGCTTAAACTGTTATGCTAAATTAATATTTAGTCGGTGATATTAATAACAAAATTATGGTCCTTTCAAAAATATGCAAAAACTTACCAAAAAAATAAAAGAGATTACCAATAATATAAGACTTACAAAAATCAATATATAACTTCCTTAAACACATTATTATCAGAACAGTAATAATTTTTAACACTTGATCATTAAAAAAACTTGATGAAATAATCGTATAAAACTAATTTATTTTTTTTAGCATAAAATTAATAATGATGATAAAAATATTTTTCCACAAACGATAAAAAAAAATAATGATATAAAAAATCAAAGTTTTTTTATTAAAATGATTGATATTTTTACTAATTTTATATAAACAAAAGGAAAAATATTGCGAATTACCACAATTAATATTCTATTTTTAACACAGAATTTGATTGCAAGCTGACATAGTGAAAATATAATTTATAAGTATTTATCTAATCTAATAATTAAAATAGTATTCATAAATAATTTAGATATACTTTTTAATTTTTAAATGATAAAATTAAATCTATATATTACTCAATAGAATTATAAAAGAAATCATTCATTGGGCAATCAAAAAAATTTAAGTTTAAGAAAATATTAAAGAGCCATTAAAAAAAAATTTTTTTCTTCAGGGGCCTATTAAAATTTTTCAGGGGGCTCGAGCCCCTGCGCCCTCCCCCCTATGCCACTGTTCGTAATGTTCTTAAAATCAATAGATACTTCGCATAATTGCAAACACATTTTTAACGATTTACTTTACCTATATAAAAATTATTATATATTTTAGAAACCCCCATTAGTACTTCTACCAATGGATATGCTCTATACTATATATGTCATTTTATTTTTTTCCCATAATACGTGACTTGCTCGAACTTTCAAGCCTGCAAGATAACGTTATACGCTTAAGTTTATTAATAACATTAATTTATATTAGATACATATAAATGTTGATAAAAATAGTAAAATGTCGATTAACGTCATAATGATAATTTATTCGATTATTATAGCTTTTGATCAGCTATCTATGAAACACATGTGAATTTAAAAAAATTGATGAATTCTACTTTAGATCTGATATCTAAGAATTTATTTTATGTATGCACAAGTCCCGCATTATTTTATATATATAATCAAACATTTGGACAAAGTAAGCTAATGGGAATGGATCAGCATCCTTCTATTATAATTAAGGAGGAGGATAATAAATATCTCACTAAAGTTATAAATTTTTATATCTTATTGTTAATTTTTAAATAGTTGATAGGCCAAACATATTATCATAATGGGTATCATCCAGAAGCTAACATAAAATATTATGTTACATCCCAAAATAATATTATAACCACAGGTTGTTCTAAGCTCAGTTTCAAAGCCTATCTTGGGATTCCACCTTTTTACTTAGTAGGTTATATATATATTGTTAATTGAAGCGAATTTATTTGTATATATTTATAATAACTAATGGTTGCTTGATAATAAGTCAAATTAGTTAATTTATTAATATATCTTTTCAGATATTTTTATTGTTTAATCATCATTATATAATAATTTACCACTTAAAATTATTCCCTTCCCTGAGGGTATAAACCTCTTGATCACTTTTAGACATCACTTTTCAATAATTAATTTTTTTTTGACTAGTCTTTATAATTCTTTAAGAGTTCTGAAGAGCTCCCTCATTAGCTTGATACAATCTGTAGGCTAGGTTAGCGATAATAGCTTCAATAAGTTATAAAACTAATTTATGGCCCAAAAAATATGGATTTTAAATTTCCTTTCTATTTATTCAATGTTGTGTGAATAATTATCACTGAATTAGAACATGACCCAACCCTTTTTTTAGTTAAAAATCCAAACTGTTAATAATTTTCTCTCTGATATAAGATTATTAGCTAATTTTGTTTCTGATGAAGCTATTTTGATTGAAAATATATTGCCTAATAAATGACTATCCTATTTTATGAAAGTGTAATAAAATAAACTTTCTTATCGATTTCTTTCTTTTCCCTGGTAAACAGCCATCTCACCACAATGAAAGGATGACAAATTATGACACCACTCAACAAGACACTCCGCCATTTTCCCCTAACGATTTTGTCCTGAGTCAGGCCGCTTTGGGATTGACCTGTAACGAACCTTTCTCTCGCTTCTCTTCCTTCCTGGTCTACTGTCTGGCTTCGCTATCTCTAGCCAGATTCGTGACATCTATGCTCCATTCCATATTCGAAAAAGCCGTGGCACAACGTATAGCTACGGAGGCCTCCTATATGTCAGGAAACAATGTTTTAATGGGAAGATCGCCAGTAAGTAATATCTCCCCATTTATCTCGGGTATATTCAGGCGGGCCGGGTTGCGTCGAGCCGCCCTCATAGCATACGGGCCCGTTCTCTTTATCAGTTTCGCGATGGTTTACGCGCCTTACTCTTCCTTCTTGCACTCTTACAAACTCGCAATATGTATCAGTTCTAGCGATAAGGGGGTGGCCAGTCTCAGCGAGGCTCACGCTCGGGCTGGGTTGTCTCACCTGGAAGGCCAATTAACGAGAAGTTTAGCAAAAGAAAATATTACAAGGAGAGCTGATGATTCTGTAGACCGGAAAATGGCCAGTAATAACGTAATAAGATCAACGATTGGCACCGAGGAAACTGGCACAAACATAGGGAGATCGCACGAATCGACAGCAACTAAATCAAGTCAACGTAATGTCAACGTGAAAAATTCCGAGGAGGAATTGATGACGAAATTGGTTAAATTTTATCACGAAATGGTTAGGTTCATAGAACGCGGTTTTTCTGAAGGGTATGTTGAGCTTGACGCGAGCGATTTACAAAAGCGAATAGCCAATTTGGAAAAAATTATACAGGCAGGAAAATACAAGTTGAGTGACGGCGCCAAAGAAATCGTGTGAAACTTATGTTTATTAATTTTTTAGCTCCCACATTTAAACAAGATGAATTCTCATTATTTTTATTATCGAAAAGTAAAAAGGTTTATCACGATTATTGTATATATATTTTTGTGATTATAAAATATAAAAATTTTATACTTATAAGTTGATTTTTTATTTAAAAAAGCGTTACTTTTAGTAAGTAATAATAATATATTAAGATACAAAAGGATCCCGAATTGTGCATGGGAACATGTATATTCTTGTTAAATGATCGCTTTATGTAAAGTTAAGTTTTTTTATTTTTTAAAAAAAGCCTGATTTGGAATGTAGGATAAAAATTATCGGAAAAATATCATATGTATCGATAGTATGAAATGACGTAATGTGTTGATGATATCGATCACGTGTTTTGATATCTCGCTTAGAGGCCCGCATTGGGCAGATTTTAAGTCCACCCGCCCATATTTCAGGCGAGACCTTCATGGACCTTAATTTTTTGACCAAACCCGTCCCAGTCCCACAGTAAAAAAAATTTTTTTCCCAAGCCCGGCCCATATTTAATGTTAAAAAAAATCCCAAGCCCATAATAAGTTTCACAAAAATTTTCCAAGCCCGGCCCCAAGCCCATATACAAAAATTTAATTTTTTTTTTTTTATTTAATGAAAATTAACAATATTTTAAATATATTTAGGTAATCATTTTTGTTTACACGATACTGAAATTTATTATTTATTAGAAGAATAGAAAGGGCAATATTTCATTAAATTAGCAACTGTTTTAAATAATCGAAATTTAAATTTAATAATTTAAATGCCCCAAGCCCATTAAAAAAAATATTTTTAAAAACCCGGGCCCAGCCCAGACCCGCTAGAAAATATGATATTAGGTCCAAACCCGGCCTAGGTCTCTGATTTCAGACCGGCGTGGTCGGATTTTATAAAAATGTTTTTAACATTGGGCGGGTGGCGGCCGGATTTAAAAAAATCAAATACAACGAGTGCGTGCGCTTTTTGGCTAAAAAACTCGCCCATCGCAGACCTCTAATCCCGCTTGACCTAGCGTGGTACGAATTGTTGAAATCTTTTAAAGCCGAATAGATTATTTATTAAAGAAAAAAAAAATTGAAAAATTATATTTTGGTGTATGTAACTTCATAATTAATTATTATCCAATATTTTTATTGGTCATAGAGTGCGCAAGCGCAAATATATATTTAATGTTTTTTTTAAAAAATTAAAAAAAAATAAATTACTATACCTTTTTAGGGTAAAAGTCAAGTTGAAAACACAGATGCCATATTTGATCATGTTTATTTATAGGCTCTCACCCAATGCCAATTAACATAACCCTTCCATAATCAAATTTATTTTTTACTTCATCGGGTATGGGATTTTTAACCTCTCCCTCTTATTTCCCGTGGGCGTATAAGCAAGTGGTTTTGCCTCTTGCGCTCTGGATGGCCCTCTTAATCATTTCCCATCTTTTATCCCAGTTTGATGGGTTTTCCCATGAGAGAACCAAGCGTTGACTCTGTTGTTATATATAAAGAACTCGTTTAAATACATATGACGTTCAAGGGCTAGTGCGCTTAATATCGCGTAATGATAGCTCGGATTATTCCATATAGCGAAAATTATATTTATAAAAACTTGCCTTGTTTACGATATCCTGTTCGCCATCTCCAAGTAATAATATTTTCAATTTATTTCAGTTTGCTTTTTTATTTCAAAAAAATTATCTAAAGATGACTTCGTTCTATATCTAAGATTTCAAAAAATTAAAAAAAAATTTCTGGGTAAAATTATCTAATCCAGCCCTAAATGTCACATCGTCGGAATTTTTCAATAAACAATCTTAAACTTAAAGAGTATGATGATATTTGGATTAATAAATAAATATAGAGAATTGCAAAACAGGAGAAAATAACAAAGCTTAGTAATAAACATTCTACAACAAGCAAAAATTTAGATTTCACTATAAGCATTTTTTTATGATCGGATTATTTTCTTAAGTCTTGTGGGAACTATTTTTTTTGTTTTGAACAGGAAATTCTGTATTAATTAACCCCTACAAAAAGGCATAGATTAAAAGTTATAGGAGTTGAAATATTGGTTTACAATTTATATTTTGATTATATATATATTTTCAATAGATTTCGAACACGTTGTAAAGAGAGTAACTGTTTATATAGCAATTAACTTGAAACAAAATATAAAGTAAGTTCATCAAAAACCTTATAAAACTTGTTTGTGTTTTTCAAATACTTTGCTTTAGCATTTTAATTTGTAAATCAAAACTTCGTAAGTTTTTTTTTGCAGAATTTTTTAAAATTAAAAAAAACCAAATTATTATGATATTAAAACCTAGTGACTAACCATTATTTTTATTTTATTTTTTTGGAGGGAGGGGGGGGTGGCAAATTATTTTGGAGCCCAAAATTTCTGTCATCAAAAATTCCTATTTATTTTCTTTTATAAGATTTAGTAAAAAAACTCTCGTTTTTTAGCTAGAAATAGTATGAATCATATTCAAACATGATTGGAAATAGTTTATTAATAAAAAATTTTTTTAACCGAGGAATGCTCATATAGGATAAAACTATTAGGAATTACGCTATATCCTGGGAAGATTTGGAAGGCAAAAATCTGCAAATATAAAAGAATGATTAATATGATAGGAGCATTTGGTTTTTAGCTTAGGCAATAATAGTCTAAAAATCTATACGCAACAGCAAATTAGAAAAGATGAAGTGTGGAATGGATAAAAACGACATCGACGGAGAGAACAATTACTAACCAAAATGTAGGTGTTTTTTTCATAAATAACAAGCATTAAAGAAGTTGACCTGGATAGAGGCACAATTAGAGGCCTATTTTACCCCCCCCCCCCCCAAAAAAAAAAAAAAAATTTTTTTATTTAAAATCTACCACTGGCCCTCCAAAAATAAAATAAATTTGAACTGTACCCCATATTGTAATGAGGAAAGGAGAAATTGTATGTGTATTTAATTTGGTGGAAGAATGAAAATAATCAAGATGCCAAGATTCAGAATAAGAAAAATGAGCTTGAGCTTCCCAAAAAAACAAAATTGAGAGGTTAGATTTCTAAGTTATTATCATTGTAAATATTTTACAATTGGACTGAAATCAGGTATCGCCAAATAGGCCAGCATCTCGAGTATGTTAAAAAGTTTCGATTAGGGTGAATTATTTTAAAGAGCGGCCCCTTAAAATAATAACCAAAATAATATTAACTCTGAAGATTTTGCTCATAGATGACAGACCGGTTTTGACATCTATTTGCCAAATGAAGAGGCTTACATAAAATTCTTAATCGGGTCGTTTTAAAAAAAAATAGAGTTAACAATACCAGCATCCCCTAATAAGACTGTTATTAATTATGGGAAAAGATTTTCTTTTAAAAATACGAATAGGTTGAATAACTGAATTGAAGCTGCAGGTTTTCTTTGCCTTCCTTGTAAGATCTATTACCTAAAAACTGGCAAATCAAATCTATACCAAAAAGGGTATAACCAAATAAAAGAAAGTTCTCGAATAAATGGGCTTTGAAAATCATGATAATTGCCAGAATTCATAGAAGAAGAGGACCCCTAAGACTAAAAAATTTTTACATTCAGATTTTGTCAAATCTCTATAATCATAACGAAAAATACATTTACAAATATTCCGTACTAGTTTAGATCATCCACATCGAGTTGTGAAGACAAACATTTTCACGATTAAAGAGAATTATATAATCGAATCCCTAAGCACAACATCTAATTTTAGGAAACATATTTGATAATTGCATATTTTTATACGTGGTAATATTTATCAATTAAAGTCGTACATTTCAATTTTTGACTTCAAATAACTCAAATATTCGTTCTAAGATATTTTAAAAAAAAGCGCCCCTCCAAATTTTTTGTCTGCTCCCCACCCCCTACACACAAATGGGTGAGGCTAGAATGCAATATATGATAAAAGTAAATTCTGCTATCAGAAATTCCCGCTCTATAATCACATCTCTTGTGGCATGAAGTGGATTTAGGGTCCTTTTTATTACGAAATCCATTGAAAGTATTTCTTTTCAATCGTTTTGTCATCCAAAACAAGAATACTCTCCCGGCCATTACAGTAGTGTTGTTAAACTTGAGCCAATTTCAAACACGACTAACTCTATATACAAAGAATGTGATTAATAAACAGATGAATTCTCCCCATTTTTATCATTGAAATAGTAAAAGGGTTATTTTACGATTTCTTGTATATATTATAAATATTTATTTTTATGATAATAAATTATAATAATATACGCGTAATTTTGCATTTATATAAGTATATTTTTATTTTTATATCAAAAAAATCGTTACTTTTGGTAAGTGATAATAATATTTTTAAGATACAAAATGATCCTAAATTGCGGTTTGTACATGTGTATATTCTTATAAACATGATTGTTTTATGAAAATCTAAGTTTTTTTAAAAAAAAACCCTGATAGAAGGAAGGAAGTTATAAATAAATCATATGTTCGATAGTATAAAATGGCAAAATATGTTGACGATATCGATCACGTGTTTTGATATTATTCTCGCTTGACCAACGTCGTATGAATTGTCGAAATCTTTTAAAGCCGAACAGATTTTCTATTAAAAAACATACTAATTAATATCTAATGGGACATATACAATAAAAATAAAATAGTAAATTTTTTGGTAAGAGTCGGTAAAGGAATATTTCTATTAATCATATAGTGCGCAGACGCGAGTCTCATTTTATGTTTTTGTTTAAAACTACAATACCTTTTTTAGGGTAAAGGTTACGTTAAAACACGGATGCATAATATTAAAAGAGTGTTAATCATAACTTCCATGTTTTGATTAAAAATTATTTGTCAGGTCAACTTCGAAAATATTGGAGGCCATTTTAAAAATACGTAAAAATAATATCTGGTACATTGCTTCAAATACATTGGAGGGCTATTTTTAAGTTTTAACCAATGAAAAGAGACTCTTATCTAAATTTCCTTACTAGATTAAAAATTAGCAATAGGTGTATCCAACATTTTAGCAAAATCAGTAAGGGGGAGAGGATTTTGAACGGCTTTTCCGGCCATTTAATTTTATTGGCAGATTGATTTAAACGGCAAAATAAGGAATACAAAAAAAAATTGTTTATATAAATATATTAAAGTTTTACATTCATTTTACACATTAATTGATATATTTTTAATCCTCGAGACATTTATATCTGTCACCTAATTATAATATTCAATATTAAAATTTTTTTAAAAAAAGAAAAACTATTGTATTTGCAAGATTTGCAAAAATAGTTTTTATGTTTACATACATTAAAGCGCGGACCATATATTTATAAAAAAAATGCAGTTAAATATATATATATTTTTTTTAAACATGAAGTAATTATCAAATTTTTTAAAAATATTTTCACGCTCCTTAATATAAGAGTAACCATAAAAATATTTTCGAAAAATATTTTAAATTTTGTTGGAATCGATTAGATATAAGAAAGTTATCGGAACCTTAAAATATAAAAAATTAACAGAATGAATTCGCATGTTGGGCTGTATCCGTATTTTTATTTTTTTAAAAAAAATACCTATCCGGCCCGGGCCGAATATTTTAAAAGCGAATTATTTAAATCTCCATTATTAGCTAGAAAAATGGGAAATATAAAACTCGAGCCGGGTCCCTGAAAATATAAGAGCTGAGCCTGGGCCATGGAAATGGTATCTCTGCAGGTCTCCGTTATAAATATACAGTATTTAAAAAATCTAAAAAAAAAAATATGTATATTTTCTAATGTTTACCCATCGATCCGCTTGAACCGAAGAGGAGTTTAGCTGATATATTATCATCAAATGGTATCCATATTCAGGATTAGGGATTATCTTATATAAATATGTGTATATATATAATATGAAAAAAATGTGTGTATTATTATTATAACGTAAGTGTTATTTAGGGGTTTTCATGAGAAAAAAATGGAGCCATCCTAGAATACTCTGTACATCGAGAATATGGAGACAAATATCTCCTACCACCCCCCACCCCCCATTCTCTCCCCACCAACACATTTCACATGGAAACTGTGGCCCGCCCGACCTCTCATTCATAGTTCGCGCGAATTCGCGACGGAGAATTCAAAATTACAGCGTATTTTGTAAAATTAACCGCGAATTAATTATAGTACGATTTAGCGGTGAAGTGTAGAAAATATGCTGCGTCTTGGATACAGTTGTAAAAATTCAAGTCATATTTGGTGGGTAGATTTTTAGGACTTAAGACCTGTTGTCGAGTATGGCCATATGAGTCGATCCGCCACTAATCAACAACACTAATTAAATGCACGTCTCAAATATTTTATCAGTGGGTTATTACAAAAAAAAGTGTTATTATAACCCATACGTTCAAAAAACTGTCGTAAGTTTGTTTTTTTTAAAACTTTTCGTTAAGACCAAATCAAATTTTTTTAAAGAACTTCGAACAAGCAACTAAAGGATATTTACAACGCAAAAATTTTTTTTTAAAGCTTAGCCTAAGGCTGGATTTAAAGTAGGGTACGATCCGACCCACGATTTAACAGCTGATCGATTTTTTTTATTGGTTTTTAAAAAAATCGATGATTCTCATCTAAAGATTCTTAAGCAGTCTTCAAATCAAACTAAAAGGAAAACGGAAGTAAGAGATTTAATACACATGTTAAAGAACTTCTTTTTTTTCACTGTCAAAGAAATAAAAATTTACCGTAAATTTTTCGATTCCGTAACAATAATATTTGATGAACCCCGCGAATCGCGAGTTAAGTTGGCGATTAATTTGATTCATAACGTCGGGACCATCGATTCTACGTAGCACCGCTTTCAGCCTTCCGTCCACTTCGGTAATATCGGTCAAATTCATGGTGGATAAAATTTCGATAAAATTTTCATCGTTAGTCTAAAATTAATAAAGCAAAGAATATAATCAGAGTTGTTAAAAGATACTTTTAAATGGCAGATACAACGTCTAAAATAATTTTTAGATACAGATTATTTAATCAAAAATCTATCTAGATACAGATACCACATTTTTATAACAACTCGGAATATAATAAAACTTATGTATATATCAGGCACTTGTCACTTTGAGATGTCAAAAAAAATGTTAAACCAAGCGCTGTTAATTATTCATTAGCTCAAACCCGTTATTCTAAAATCCGGTCCGCAAGATTAAAATCCTGTAATTCTAAAACCGGCCCGATCTCCGGATAAAAAAATTTTGCTATTTTAAAACCAGTCCTTATCAAGATTTAAAAATAAATCACACAAAATTTCTGACCATATTCCAGGCATGGCAGGTGGTCTATAAAGAGCATATATTTCATCTCAAACACGATAAAACCTTCAGGTTTCCTTCACTTTCGTGTAAAGAGTTCACCCATAAAAATATTATAACATTTAAGGCCATGATGCTATTAGGCAGTGGTTGGAACCCAAACCCGGAGAAGAAAACCCGGGTTTTTGGGAAAAATCTGAGCCCGAATCAAACTTGAATTCCGTTTATTTTCAAAACCCTCGAAACGAACCCGGGGATTTTATTTGAACCCGGGTTCAACCGGGTTCAGTGTATTGTTTAAATTAATATAAGATATTTGTATAATTGTAAATACAAATATTAATAATTTATTTGAGATTTTATAATATATTTCAAATGAAATGTTAATAAATTTTAAACAACATAATTCATTTACTCCATTTTTAAATTTATTCTCAAAGATTCCTATTGGAGTGTTAATAAATTTCAAATTTATTTACGTCATATTTTCAATTTTTAACTTATTCTCAAAGATTATTAATTTAGAGGAAAATGAAAGTGAACAAGTCAAAAGTATATTGAATATTGATAATTTAAAGAAATGCGTCTTAAATAAAATTTTTTAAAATTGATACATTGAATATGCTTTGTATTTTTAAAACTATGTTTTGCTTATAAATAAAATAAAATTTTTTATACCAAATTTATGTCTAGTTTTTTTAATTATGATTTAAATATAGATTTTTTTTAATCAATTCAAAAATTTTAAAACCCGAGCTAAACCCGGAACTGAACCAAACCCGAACCGAACTCGGGCAAATATTTTGCCGGGTTCGCATCCCTGGTTATAAGCCTATTTAAAATTCGTGATCAAACCAAAAGAATAAGAATGGCGTCGTATTTTAAAATCGGTAGAGATACGAACAACCTTTCATAAAAATCGTCGATTTCAAATAATTCGTTATTCGTTCGCGCTCGTTTTTGAATAGGGTTTACTATAATGTCGATAGCCTGATTTTAATTAACAAGCGAATTACCATAATTATACATATATGAAGAGGTTAAGTTTGACGGAGGTAATCTGTCAAGCGTCAGGGTGAAAGGTCGATGGAGAGATGGATGAAAAACTGATGAAGGGATGATATGAGAATAATAGATCTTTAAAAAATAACGGTCACCAGAACCGTAAAAAGCGGAGAAAAAACTGGCTTACCCGAAGGCGGAAAACCGCCACGATAACATTAGCGTGGTTTATATTGTAATTTTGAATAAATCTTTCCTTCTGAATTGTAGTGAAGAGGAATGAATAAAATAACGCTACTTTTTATTTGGCAAAAGTATTTAAAATGTATCTTAAATAAAGGGTATTCAAGCCTTAGGCTGGGGGTTAAATGAATAAATTTGTAAACCATATTTTTCAAGTTCGGAGCTAGGTCGGGCGGGAACACAAACCGATTACCGTTATCCGTCTTGTGAGTGGTGTCGGAAATATTTCCGGGACACGTGAGACTCGAAGTCGCGGTAGAGAATAAATTGAATATAAGAGGGGAGATAGAATTGGTGGGCCTTTTCTTTATCTTGGTGGAGCTGTTGGGGGAGGGCATACCGGAAATGGCTCCAATTTGATTGGCATTGAATGATGTAGCGGGAAGATCGTCGATCAAGCTTTTCCTGAACGGAACGGGCCATTCGTTATTGTTGTAAGGGGATAAAAAATAATGATTCCATAGTTCGGTTTTATGATGATTAGCGGATTCCTTCAAAAAGTAAAAGAAGCCTGCTTTAATAGTTTGTATAGAACTTCTTCCTTCCTTACTTCTTTTCTTTTCTTTCTTACTTTCTTTCTTTATCCTTCGATACAATAATTCCTGATCAAATGGCATAGTTTAAACTAGCGATCTGCATCGGGCCTAATTCTTCAAGCCCATCTCGGCCCGAATTTTCTTAAAGAATATTTACTTTTGCATATCCCTTGTTTAAACTAGGTATAATTTGGCCACACGGATCTACAATATTATATACGAGAAATTTGAGGGCTCAAAGATGGGAAATAAAGTAAAAAAAAAAATGTTAATTAAAACTCGCGTCAATAAGGTTTGGAGATTGTCGATAATCTTGACGCTTCGTTCAAGTAAATAGGTTTGTATCTGTTGTTCCCCTTTGCTGTAATAACCGAGGTAGTCCACGCTTTCCGCCTTGATAAAAAAGTTGCCAACCGCCTGATCAGCTGTTTTAAAAAAATATAATATATATGTATTCCTACGGAATTGATTAGTTATTCTAAGGGTTGGGAAGATTTTCAAAAAAAAAATGTATTTTTTATAAATATAAATACTTTAGCACGAAAGATACTTTTCACAAGTCGAATTCTTATTTTTTTCAGCTTAGTAATTATCATTAACCATTTACCTATGTAAACACATTTATTAATGATGCAAACAAATATTAATATGACCGTTTTAGGAAAAGAAAGAGTATAATATCGCTGGAGGAGGATGAAATCACTTCCTTTTATGAGTTTCAGTTATATAATTCTCTCATTGATTTTTGATTTTACAAAAAATTGTCAACGACGTTTAGAGAAAGTCGATGTTATCAGCTAGTAAGTGTTGTTAAAGAATCGATTTTATTTTTTTAAAAAAAAAACAGCCAACTCGATATTTTAGCCAGGAAAATATATTACGCGATCCCTGAAGATTTTGGTCGGTCATAGATAAGCGCAAAGGTTTTACATCTATCAGCGAAGTCTAGAGGGCTTAGAAGCAATATTTTTTTTAAGGATAATTGAATTTGCCGTTTTTTTAATAAAGAAAATAGGCTAAAATCGAGCCGTTTAACAAACGCTAGTTTTAGTTTTATCATTAACCATTTACCTACGTAGACACATTATACAAATAAACACATTTATTATTGATGCAAACAAATATTAATATGGCCGTTTTTAGGAAAAAAAAGCGTATAATATCGCTGGAGGAGGATGAAATCACTTCTCAAAAATGTGTCATGTCAAAATGCGACCATTTTTGGGTTAAAATTTTTTTTGCAGTTTTTTAGGTTCGGTTTTCTTTACATTACATTTGAAAGAGAGGAAAAGAAAGAAAAACCAAATGATATTTAAATTTTCGTCCCACAAACCTTTAACTTTTTTGGGCGGAATTGTTTGGAAAATTTTGCTGATTTCGGAATTATAACCACCGGATTCATTGTCGGCAGAGTATGTATCGATAAGACTTCGTCTTCCGCGAATCGCGCCACTTTTGTTTTCTGTTTTTTTTGTTTATCCCATGATTAAACTCTTACAATATAGATTAGAGGTCTGCATTTGGCGGGGTTTTTACCCTGTCCGTTCACGCCCGCATTTGTGACGGACGTGGTCTGGTTTTTAGGGTGGTTGCGGGCGGGTTAAAAAATTTCTAAAGAACGAGTGAGCGGGATATATGGCTAAAACTCCGCCCATTGCAGACCTAGATTATCTTATTTTCTAACTTTATTGATTTAGGAATGAAATTAAACATTCCGCTAAAAAATATCCATTTTATTTATAATTTAAAAAAAAAAAAGAAAAGACCAAACCTTTGTAACCGCGGTATTTCAGCCGGTCTAAATTTTCCCGCGCGTGTAATACATCGCTTTTTACGCGCCGCAAACCGAGATAAGAACCAGGGACAACGGTGAAGTTACGACCGCGTCCAATTCGCGAAACATCTTTTAAAAACGTATTTTTATTAAAAATTTTTAAGCTTAGAAGAAAGAAAAACCTTAAGAATAACGCGTATATACACAATAATGGTTTTTTTTTTCAAATAAACGCTATATACACAATATTTGGATTTTTTCAAAAAAAACGCGAGATTAAAAATTACTAGGACAATTTCAAAAAATGAAATATTCGTATTAGATTTAAATAGTTCTCATGTTCCATCTCCGTATTTATTGGACAAGATTATATTTTAAAGAAAAAAATATATTTTTCAAAACTTCATGGAAGCAGCTGATATGTGGAAGGCTACTTTTCCAGCCAAGAGTTCCAAATTTCAAGAGAAATGAGGGGAATGTGGCCAAAACTTGATTTTTTTTTGTTTTTGCTCACAATGCTTCAAGATACAAATGGCCGGAATTTATTTAAAAAAATTTTAGATGTAAAAAATAGGTACAGTTATTTTTAACAATATAAATTTACGTGCCTCACTCAATTCCATCGATAGTGAGTAATTCATAGTGATGTCAAAAGTTACTTTTTATAAGTAACTAGTTAAAGCGACCAATCAAATTCTTTAAAAAAGTAGCTGGTAAATAACTTTAACTTATTAAATTACAAGTTACAATATAAAATTTACGTAAAACGCATCATTTTTTTAAATATAAATTTCCTTTTTTTTAAAAAATTATTTTACAAACAATAATATTTTTATATTTCAATCGGAATTTTAAATAAAAATGTATTGGATATCTAATTCATATACCCAACTTAATTGAATTATAACATTTTTTTTAAATATTAATTTACCTTTGGCTGCGAACAAAAGATTCCAGGTATCTCGAGAAGCCGGAGTTTCATTCTTAATCTGCGCGGAAGCCGTGTTGTCACCGCCCTTACCCGCCAAAAGCTCCAAGGTTCGCGCCAAAAGAATAGCAGCGGGAACCGGCTGACGCCCTTTCGTGACTACGGTCACGAAATTCCCGGTTTGAGACTCAGTATTTACATTGGGGAATTTGTTGTGCCGATTGATGAGCAGGAGGTACACCCCGAAACGCTTAGGTACAGAGTTTTTTTCGCCAACTTCCAAGTTTTTGCTCGCATCGTGGAACGGAAATTCATCATCGGACGCCTTGTTTTTGGCGATATTTTTACGGGTTTTGTTGGGATGATCGAATTTGGTGCCTCCTTGGTAATAAAATGAAGGTTATAACCGGTGTTGTTAAACGGCTTAGCCCAATATTTTGGCCAGAAAAATAATGCCCAAGTCTCGAGATTTCGCTAATAGATATCTAAACCTTTGCGCCATCTATGAGCAAAATCTTCAGGCTTGCGTATACTGGATTCAATATTGAGATTGGTCGTTTATAAAAATCATCGGGGGCCATTTAACAACATTAGATATTGGGATATCGTGGTTTAGAAAAACCACTTTAAAATCTTAGTAAGAATTATCAAATTTTTACAAAAAAAAAGGGGGAAAAAAAAAATTGAAAGTATGGTATAATTATGCTAATATGAATCATGGTTAAAATGACAATGATGGATGGCGGAGGGGAGAGGTAATGCGTTGTTCAAATAACGCGCTCTTAAAAACGTCTAAATTATGTTCCGCTCGAACGAGTTCGAAATGTGGCACGTCTAAAATTGATTGACCGTAAGTACTGGACCATATCTCGGTCCCATTTTATTATATAGCATCCGCATTTTAACATCGTAAGGTATCGTAATCACTGTAAAGCGGAGATCCGCGAAGGTCAAAATTTTGCGATAGTTTATTTCTCATAATTTTTTTTTTAGCCAGTATAAAAAATCGCTTGGGCAAATCAGGTGATTTGTAAAAATAAGATAAATCGTATTATATTTGAAATTATAATTTACGAAAATTTCAACGGTTCCGACTTTAGACCACGCCGCGAAAGAGTAATTCGGTGAACATTCAGATCAAAGTTTTAGGAAACATATGAAATTTAGAATTTAGTTATTTTGTCTGCCAAATACTCAATTATTTTTTTTTTTTAGGCTGCATTCATAGTGGATCCGATCCAACACGATTTAACAGCTGATCGATTTTTAAAATCGGTTTATGAGAATTAATTTCTCTTTATTAAAACCAATATTTCTTAGGTTATTATCATGTATAGAATTAAAGACAAAATATTACAAAAAAATTGATCTCATAAATAGATTTTAAAAATCGATCAGCCGTTAAATCGTGTCGGATCGGATCCACTATGAATGCGGCCTAGGGTTTGTGTTGCAGTCTCAAGGACCATTATTGTTGTATTTTTAAAAATAAAATAATTTAAACATACCACACGAAACAAACATAAAATGAGGATATATATAACCTGGGAACCCGGAATTAAAAATAGCTTCAATGGGCTTGAACCGCTTATCGCTAAGATCAATATCGTCGAGACTGCCGTCGACCGTCAGAGAATCGCCGTATCCATCTTTTGTTTTCCTGGAGTTTCCATTTATTGGTGGGGGAGGGGTGGGTGGAAATAAGATAATATTTTATAAAATTGTTCTTTAAATCTCAATTGTAAGGGGTAAAACAAGGTCATTTTTCTTCCTCTTAAAAAGATTTGAAAATTTACCAAAATAACAAGTTGCGATACGTTATCCTATTAAACGATACTATTTAAAAAAAAGGGTCGTATAGGAAGTTGTAAATACGTATTTTTATCAAGAACCCTACAAAAATCGAATACCGGCCAGGTTTTAAATTTTAACCCCGGTCCGGATTTTTTAAAAATTCGAACCCGGTCCGGGTATTTAATCGGTTTTTGAACCTGACCTGAAATTGGCCAGGGTATTTAAACGGTTTTAGAAGTTGACCCGAATTTTTAAAATAATATATCATTTTAAGACCCACGCTGGGCCCTGGAGACCGCAAATTATTTTATATGAACGCTTCTTATTTTTTTAGGGTTAATTAAAAAAAACCTGCTGGAAAATATTTGCGGCGAATCGGTGTAACGCCTTTTAATGGCGAGGGCCTCCGCGTTTTCTAGGACATCGTAATTTTCGCTTTCAAAGATTATGGCGAGAATCCGGAAAGGGGAAAGGTGGTTCGGATCGACCGGCCCGAGTGTCGAGGAATAAAGATAAGGAACGCGATTGCGCCATTTTCGCTATTTTTATTGGTAAAACTAATATATTTTATACGCTTAAAATTATATTTCTGTTTTGTTTATCGGATAAAAAATGGCGGCATTAATCGAGGAATTTATATCGGATCTCGTTTATCGACTCCGGTCCGGTATTCGATGGATCCGGTCCTACATTTTTTTCTCAGGTCCAAAACCGAAGAAAAATTTGAAAAAAATCGAAGCTCGTTCAGACCAAATAGAAGGAACGAACTCTGTCGCACCTCAACGAGGATGTGTGTATATATCTGAGCTACCAAACCACTTATACACTTTCTTTTTTTTTTTAAAAATAAGGATTTATTATATATTTTACAATCACTTCTCTTTTTTTATAACGAATTATTATAATTTTGACAAATTAAAAAAATATTTTCATTTATATTTTAAATTATTTTTAAAGTATATATATATATTTCGAAACATCAGGAGAATAACCAACAGATTTGGGACAGTTGTAAATGGGACCGTATCAAATATTGCCCATTTTGTGAGGGGAAAGAAAGGTGAATATACAGTAGTGAATGGGTGGGTAAACTGAGCGTTTAATAATAAAAATTGACCTGACTTGCGCAATTTCACCCAAAACACAGAAATATGACTTTGGGAGGTCAGTTTTAAAAAAAAAAATTAAATCAAAATTTATTCTTTCCTTCTTTCTTTCTATCCTTCCTTCTTTAAGACGACATATGTTGTCATTTTAACTGCGCGTAGCAATAGTAGGAGAAATTTTTTTTTTGTAAAGATGTGATTGGGACCTGATTGCTCAGAAAGTAAATGAAGTAAGGTCTCATGGGTGAATATATCAAAGCGAATTTAATAGGGTATTTTACGTGAGTCTTTGAATGAATGTACGATGATAAAAGGGGCGGGTCCGCGTTCTCGTGGGAGTCATTATTCGGCGTCGCGTTACGAAAAGCGTTCGGAGGAGGGCGAGAATATTCGTTCAACAAGAATCGCATAAAGTTCGAAGAGAATTCTCTTCGACACGATATTTCTAAATTCTCTGGAAGATTTTTTAAAAAAAAAAATGAAGGAAAATATAAATTTAAAAAGGCATCCTATAATAATAATATACCGGCCAATTCGCCCATAGCCGTTACCGGCTATAAAAGAGACGCGAACATTTTATCGCGCGATCAAACAACAAACCTTAAATTTATTACCAAAAAGATACCATCAGCAAATATTTCATATAAATACGTAAGTGTAAATTATTTATATAACTCATTATTTTATTTTTTTTAATATGCAAGATAATTTTGCGATCTACTTGAAATCAAAGTAATATAAATTCTCTTCTCTTCTCTTCTCTTCTCTTCTCTTCTCTTCTCTTCTCTTCTCTTCTCTTCTCTTCTCTTCTCTTCTCTTCTCTTCTCTTCTAAGAAAGAAAGAAAGAAAGAAAGAAAGAGAAGCAAATACCATAATTTAGACCTGTGCGCGGAGGTCTTAAAATATCAGTATACGGGTGACGTATTTAAAAATAAATATTTTTCGTCGACGTTCAACGCCGCGCTGGCCGCCGTCCAATGAACTTGTGGCGACGTCGGCATCGCATATTTAAAAAAAAAATGAATTTAACATTGTTAATATAGATAGGTTCCTAAATCGTTTCCTATCCCAACCCCTACATTTTATTCACGTATTTTTTTACCATACTCCGATAACGGCCTAAGGAATTGCCTTCATATTTAGGTTCAGTTACAAAAAATTTGTAAATTATATTCTGGAATATTTCTATGGACTTTCTTTTGAAAATTTCGGGTCTACTTAGGAGTAGTGTAGCTAATGTATATCTAATTGTTTCGAAATTTTGATTAAAAAAATTATAATATAATAAATCACTCGTGGTTTGGTGATTGGTAAACCGCTTACCAAATTTTAAAGAACGTTTCCCTATTTAATTTAGGTACACTATTTAATAGGACTCACCCCCCCCCCCCCCAACCTCTAAAAAACTTATCTTCAACCTCATCATGTCGGGAGAGTGGTAACATCTGCTGGCGCCTAACGGAAGTCGTAAAGGTTCCATGTGGTCTGGGTCCAGAAAAGGATCACCGTATCCTCGACGGGGTGTAAAAACACCGTCTGAAGGGAGTTGATGTCAAGAAGGGCATCCGATCGTAAAAAACATTGCTACAAAATATTATAATGATTTAAATCAGAAGGAAAACTGGCCAACCTGGGGTAAACCCGGAGATCGCCATTAAACGGAGAAGAAGAATTTTACAGGACTCTTGTATGACACCACGGATGCTTTTCAAGTAATAATTTAATGTGCCGTGCCAAAAGGAGTAAGGGAAATTTTAAGGGTTTTCCATATTAATTCGATCATTTATTGGCGCATCGCGTTTTACATTATCAGCCGCACATCCAGAGATATCAAAATTTTCATTCAACGTATGTATGGACTCAGAAATCATTCATATTCAAAATCTGGCCAGTTTTTCATAAGTTGATCGCTGGCATTTAAAATGCTCCAATTCCACATTCTAAATCGCTACTCAATAATCTTTGAGAGCTGAAATGAATTCTTCTAAAAAAAATTTTTTTTAAAAAAGATTATTAATTCTTGCAACCCCCCCCCCCCCCCCACTTTTTAATGGCTGTGTTTGAATGTAAGTTATTTTTAAAAAAATATAAATTTATTATAAATTAGTAAATAATATAATAAAAAAACTTTTGTTTTACTTTACTTTAAAAAACTAATTAAATATTTTCTTGGCGATAAGATACAAATGAATCAAATACGTGAAGTTAATTAAATGTGATGCATCATTTATAAGATAGAATTTTTTTAAAATAACATCATACATTTTTTACATATTTATACATCGGCGACTTTTCCGGTTTGGAAAATGATTGCCGGCTACCATCACGTGAATAGGTGGGCACACAGATCTAACCACTTTGATTTTCTCAAGGAAAAAAAAAATTTGTGTTGCATGTGCGCTATAAATTATTTAAGTATTTAAATGTATAATAGTTTAACTGAAATTTAAATATAAATTATTTAAGTATTTAAATATATAATAGCGCACATGCAACAATTTGTACTTTACTATTATATTTTATTTTAAACGTTTAAAAATTATTAGATTTGTAAGCACATAAAAATAAAAAGTCCTGCAAAATCTAGAACCATATGCTTGGTTGTTTAGGTGATAGCAATAGCAAATTTATTAATCATATGATTTAAGAAAAAAAAATTATAAAATACACAAGGGTGTTAAAAAAATATCCTAAATATGTCTCCGCAAGATGGCGTGAACGACAAATAAGCTTCTTCATTTTTTTTTATCAGAAAGCAGATATGGGTAGTATTAAATTTATAAATTTCCCTATCATATAAATAAATGTAATACTCTTCATATCAATTCGTATTTAATTACTTGAAACCATATAGAAATGCTATGAGATATAAATTCGGGGACACGCACTACAATCATTTCCATACCCAATCTTGCTCGCAATTCCTTGCTAATTTTTCTCTCTCTCAGAGATACCCCCCCCCCCCCCCTCCATCTCCATCTAATCATCCTCATCACTGTTCTTTCTAATTTGGTTTCGTGGGTAGTTTTCATTGCCCATGTTTCTCCGCCATAAACTAAACAACTCCTCACACAGCTTATGTAAACTTTCCACTTTACCTGCAGAGAGACTTTTTTTATTTGTTAGAATAGAGACGACATCTCTCTGAACTATCTTCCACGCTTGTCTGACCCTTGCAACAACGGCAGAATCTACAACACCATCTGCGTTTAGCATACCACCCAAATAACAAAACTTATCCACTTTTTATAAGGTTAACCTTTTGCCAATATCCAAACCACCATTTTCTACGTTATCATTATTATGTACCCCATTCATGCACGATCTATAAATAAAAGTCATTCTTGATAAAATCAAACTTCCTTTTTTCCCGCTATGCATCCATTTATGGCATCTGGTGCATTGGATTGAATTTCTAGCAACTCTATTTCCACATATATCACAAGGCCAGTTACCGGATTCCTCCATCTTTAGATCTTCCACACTAATCATCACCTTTGTTTTTGCTATTATTCATTTTCAGGCCCTTTGCTTCCATAGCCATACTCCATTTACTAATTTTATCCTTCAATTCTTCCTCACTGTTTGCCATTAATACAAGGTCATCTGCATATAATAGCTCCCAGGGAATTCCTTCACGTATTTCTCTAACCACCACATCCATTACTAATAAATAATAATGGACTCAGCACGAATCCTTGATGAAGTCCTACCTTCACTTCAAAGATTTCACTATCACCATAATCCGTCCGTGCTGCTGTTTGTGCTCCCACATACATTGCCATCACTGCTATAGCCAACCATTCCCCCACACCTGATTTTCTCAAGGCCCATCTAGTAACCTCACGCGGCACGCTGTCAAATGCTTTCTCAAAGTCAACAAACGCATAATACAGATTCTTTTCCTTTGCAAGATACTTCTACTGTATTTGTCTCACCACAAAAATGGCATCTGTTGTGCCTTTCCCCGATGTAAAACCAAACTGCATTTCATCAATTTTAGTTTTCTCCCTTATCCGCTTCTCTAACACTCTCTCAAATACCTTCATTGCATGTTCTAAGAGTTTAATAGCTCTAAAGGATCACCTTTTCCCTTGTATACTGGGATAATTATACTTCTTCGCCAGTCCTCGGCAATAGTTCCTTCTGTGACAATTTGATTTGCCAAATTCATTAACCGTTCAATCTCTAAGCCATCAGAACCTTTAAGCATCTCTGATATAACCATCGATAAACTTCATCTTTTTTACTGCTCTCTTTATTACATCCTTGCCAAATTTACACCCTGAACCTTTACCTTTATTCCATTCATTCTCTTCGTTCAAATGTCCATCCATGTAGATCTTCCAGGTATTCATAATACCATTACTATCAATCACCATTTTTCCTTCTATATTTTTCAAACATTTAACACCTACCACATCTTATAATTATCATCTAAAAAATAAAATGACTATTTTAAGAAGCCAACAGGAAATGATTAAAACATAATCAGAGTGATAGATATAGATTGAGATCCTTTGACGTAATAGAAACCCTCATTTGTCTATAATTAGCTTACGCTTCTGTCTATTAAGATCCCAATAATATGATGGTAAATGAAGAAAACTTGTATATATTGTATTTATTTAAAAAATTTCTGCAGGATGGAGTTGAATAAACAAACAATTTTAACCATAAGAAAAAAAATTATTACAAATAATGAATAAACAAATAAAAATTATATAAGATATCAAGAATTGTAAAATAAATTCACAATTCTACACCAGCCCGGATAGGTCCGACCCTGGTACACGGCGTGGTCTGGCCCGGCCCGTGTACCAGAGACCTTCATGGACCGGGTAGGGGAATTATATCAAAGCGGCCCTATATTTTTTAAGGGGCGGGATTGGGCCTAAAATTATTTATTTTAAATTTAGCTTATCTATAACAATTGCTAAACGTAAGGAAACAATTGCCATCATTTCTTCCAATAATAATAAATTTTCATTAAATATACAAATACGATAAATAAATTTTGGTTATGGAATTTTTGGACCAGGCTTGGGATAATTTTTTTGAAACATATTATGGGCTTGGGAATTTTTTTAAGGTCCATAAAGGTCTTTGTCGTGTACCCGGGCGGGGCTTAGGGTGAGCCGGTCTGATATAAATAAATGGAATTCGTCTAATTTTATATTTTTTTGTTTCATTTGAAAATGGATGGTAGCTTCGGATAGTCTGAGTTACCCTGCTTCTTACACTAAGTTTATATATTTTTTAGAGATTGAGAATCCCCGCTATACGCACTTCCGGTTGTTAGAGTTTTAATTTTTGAATGAATTTTCAAAACATAATTTTAAAAAAAAAAATTCCCAAATTTTTTCATCCTCTAGGGAGAACATAATTTAAAAAAAAAAAATTCCCAAATTTTTTTATCCTCTAGAGAGAACATATATATTTATAAAAATTAATTCCAGCAATTCAACGATATTCCATTCAAAACTCATCATCCTGAAATGCTACCTTTTAAATTTGGTAAATATATTCTGTTTTTTTCGATAATCAATTTCTTCGTATCAAAAATTCCTTGAAAACTAAAAAGGATATTTTTAAATATGTTTTTTTTATAACAACAAAATTGCAATTAGAACATTTTAAATTTAAATTGTATTTTTTTTGTTTTAAAAAAAAATATGCAGCAGAGATAATTTTAGTTGGATTACCTATATTTATTTTTTAATGCAATTTATTATGATAGTCTTTCTTTCTTCTCTTTCTTTCATTCTTTCCTTCTTTCTAAAAAAAAGAAGAGACAAATAATACATATTAATAATTTAATGACTTCGAATCACGAGATTTTGCGAAAACCCAGGCGCCTTATTGTAATAGTTGACGAAGTCGCTCAACATGGGTACGAGGTTAAAATGAAGGGGCAGCAAGTTTAACGGTTCCCCATCAGTGTCGCCCCCGCCATTATGTTCCGCGTTCAAGGAGTCGCCCGAATCGTTGGGAGAACGATCTGGATACAGGTGGTTATAAATGATCCTCAGGTGAAAATCGTATGAAAAAGAGTGCAGATGGCACAACACCTTGTAATTTTCGCATATTTCTAGGAAGGAGTTGATTTTGTCCTTTTTTTGAGAAAAGGCGTTATTATTAAGGTATTATTTGTAAATTAAAAAAAATTTAGAAAATTTTTTCTTCTTAGAAACCGCTAATTATAGTGCAAGGTTTTTTTTAGTTCTTCAGAATTTAGAACTCGATTAACAAGGATTCTAGTTCTGAATATTTTTCTGAGAGATAGATTTGGTACCAGCTCTTAGATTAACCCGGGGTTCAGGTTTTCTTTTTTTCTTTACTTGCTTATTTCCCAAATCATCCTTGGATACAGAATTCTCTTCTCCCGTTGTCCCATTCGCGTCATTTCGCGCGGAAAACTCAAAGGGGTTGGGCATCAAACAAACGTAAAAATAAAGCACGAAAAATGGCATGTCCAAGGAAAGTTCTAGAAGCAATATTCCGCCTTCCGGTATGGTCTTCTGCATGAAGACCCTGGGAAAGGATGAGTGACAATCGTTGCCTTTCCTTTGGTCACTTTATATAAAAAAATATATAATATTATTATTTTAGTGAATAGGGCCATGCTGATACACAAATTATCATCAAATTTTTAACCAGAGCTTGAAAACAAAACAAAAAAAAATGGGTTTGGATTTCATGTTTTTAATTCGATCCGGAAATCAAAACCGATCCGATAACCGGATTTTTAGGCTAATATAGGAAAAGATTAGATTGGGTGGATAGATAGAGCCTCTTAAAATACCAGAAAGTTTATAATCCATTTTACTATTAATTAACATTATAACGGAGATGCTCATCGGGCTGGATTCGGTAAGTATCAGCTGACCCATTAATTTAAACCAATAGCAGTAACTAAAGAAAAAAAGAAAGGTTATTTTGGCCAATCGAGTTTGTTATTCGGTTTGACTGTCGACTAAAAAATAAGTTCCAATCGATGCAATCGCTGTGCTACATTTTATAGTAGATTTATTTTAATTATATAATATTACCCAACGCCATGGGGGGCGGAAGAAGTAGGGTGCCCCTGTAGAGAGGAAACGTGATTAAAGCCCAGCGTTTGCAAGTAAAAAAGGTACTCTTTCATAAAACTTTTGTACAAGTTCACCCAATCGTGGCTCGGCATAATTTGAGGCGGGGTGGCCTGTAAAAAAAAACAAATAAAAATATAATTCAAGGTTTGCGCCGTTGTCAAAAATCAGACTTTTTATATATAGACGGGGCAAAGAATACCTGGGGCCAGTTAGGGTAATGCCAATCTCTAGTATCTTAGTAGAAAAATTGTGAAATAAATAGTTAACGTCTTATATGATCTCCACCAGTGCTTAAAATCTCATCATTTAAATATTTTAATGAATATGTTTGACGAATTGTGAATTTTTAGCTCCGTCTCGAACCGAAAATAAACTTAAAAAAAAATTTTTTTTTTGTTGAAACCGTATCAGTTTGAACGTCGGCCGACCTCGTCTTGGATACTTCTTTCCTCCACGAGGGATCGAACAAGATGGGGGTCGCGCAATAATGGAAGGATCGGCTTCTCCTCTTTAAGATATTCAGGGTGGACAAGTGGAGAGAAAAATGGGCGGTGCTGGTATCAGAGTCGGCGGAAGACCACCGACGGTAAAGATACTTAACGATGGATTTTTCTTTCGTATCTTTATTTTTTTATTAGTTAAACATTTATGTATCAAAGAAATGATATCTATAAGCAGTGTTGTCTAATGGGCCGATTTAAAACGGCTAACTCATTATTGTAGCCGGGAAAAATATTGCCTAGGCCTCGCGATTTCGCTGATAGATGTCCAAACCGTGGTACCATCTACGAGCAGAATCTTCAACCCTCGAGTAATACTATTCTGCAGAGTTGTTAAAAGATAGTTTTTAAATGGATCTAGATACAGACACATCGTCTAAAAAAATATATAGATACCGATATTTTAATAAAAAATCTATCTAGATACATATACAGATACCACATTTTTATATCTACAGGATCTAGATACTTGTATCTAGATCCTTTAACAACTCTGCTATTCTGGATAAAAATATTGATTTAGTCTGGGTTTAATCGAAACGTTTTAAACGACACTAAAATATAAAGATATTTCTCTTGATTTTTCACTTTAGGTGTAGTGTTGTTGAACGATTTCAACATAGGCAATTTTTAAAATTAAGATCTTAGCCAAAAATAAAACTAATCAGTAAGCCTCAAGATTTCGTTTAACGAAAGCCCAAACATTTCCTGTCACCTATGAGCAGAATCTGCCAGACTCGGGTAATGTATTTCTTAGCTAAAAATATCGGGTTAACCCTTTTTTAAAAACCGAACCCTTTAAAAAGTAGTGTTGTTAAATTACCTAATTTTGACCATCTCTACTATGGCTCAGTGAAGCTTTTAGCTCCTCAAAAGTTGAATTATGGCTTCTACGCTGAAGTCGTGAAGTGAAAAAAATGGCTACGCTTGTTTTTTAGTTGACTGAAGTTAGGTAGTATTAACAACGCTATTTAAAACTAATTATTTTCACTGCTATTTAGTGAAAATTTTTTTAAAAAATTTATTGGTGACCGAATCTTCCCAAAAATGGACCTAAACCTGCCTGTCCAAATATCCCCCGATTTTGAGTACTTATCCAAAAATATGTTCCCATTCTGGTCCATTTTTGTAAAATGTTCTAGCAAAATAATTTCAAATTTTTGAACCTCCCAAAACGGGGTAAAGGGCCTTGCTAGATTTATCTAAAAAAGGAAAATGCTGAATATTTGTGTCCATTAGACTAATTAGTTTAAGCATTTATAAATATATCTAACCTATTAATTGTGCCTTTAACGCCTTCAGGTATTGAATCCCCTGTTCCTGTAAAAAATCTTTGCGATTAGCCCTCAGAAACTCGAGCTCAAATGAATCGAGAGCGGCGGAATTTTCGGTATTCCGAGACTTCCCGAGATGACATTCGTCGAAAATCGCGGAGGGATTCAAAGGTGCCGCCTTTGCCATAAAATGGCTATAACCGCTGAATTCGTCGAAAACTTGACATAGGATCTCGTCGAAAAGCCCCTTGTTTTGAAGGGATACCAGCGAATCCAAGAATTCTAGCAAACATTTGTTGAGCGAATGGTAATCTATGAAAGTGGCGACAGGTAAATGTTCCTTGCTAATGCTACCATTATTAAAGGCGGAGCAGATTTGTTTGAGCATCTGTGAGGCCGTTTTTTTGAATTCTTCAGAATTGCGGGACATTTGAAAAGTTCTCAGATGCGCCTAACAAAAAAATTTTAACAAAATTATTGCGATAAGTTAACTTTGTAAAAAATATATACATTAATATATGTTATAAGGAAAACTTTCGGAAATTTTATACGAGTATAGGTAGCTAAATATCTATTATGAATATCTTTAAGAAACATTGACTCAGGACCATTACTTTATCATATGTTTTCTATTAATTAGAAATAAGAAAACATTCTTCATTTAAAAAAAACAAAACAAACTATTTCATTCACGAACCTTGGCGTTCGGATAGACGATCTGATGCTCCGATTCCTTCGTAATTGTGGAAGAACCGCACAGAATTTTAGCCGGGGAACATAGAGGGGCGTAGCGGTAACCCAATTTTTGATATAGCACGCAATTGAGGGCCGCCCACTTATTACGGATCGATTCGACGGAATGATGCAAATATTTGACCAACACGTCCTCGATTAAGGTCTCGCGGAAATTGTAACAGAACAAGGAACACTTATCGCGTTGAATTAGAAGGCAGGAGAACAAACTTCTAGTAGCCATGAAGTCCTGTTTAGTTCTTTTTTTTGTGTATTAGAGGTTGCCTATAGTATATAATATATTGGTCAATTATCACGATATTTGTCTTGGATGGGAATTTAATTCCAAGGCTAGAGGTTTTATTGTCCTTTTGGGAATTCATTATATCTTTAGCGGAAGACTACCACCCTTAGCTTGCGTTATTTTTTTTTTGAAAATATAGCTCAGGAAATGGATATAAAATTAAATTTAGGCCTCTGGTTAGGGAGTTTTTCCATTGCCGCGCGTTTAAGACTGAGCTAATTTATTTTTAAAACTTTTAATGAAAAATCGAATGTTAAATTTTGAAAATTATGTTTAGGACATGTTTTGATATTTATATTCAAAATAAGCTTATGTATTTATTTTCATTAAAGTTTCGGAAGTTTGTGAGTTCATAATTTTCAGGACACAGCATAGACACTATTTAAAAGACAATTCTATAACCTATTTATTCATAGAATCAAAATGGTGGCGTACCATGGAGTATAATCCAGGGTTACTCATTTTTGGCCAAAGATGGAGATAAAATAAAAATTATTAACAAATCAAAAGACGAGACGATATTTTGGTGAAAGGTAGTATTTAAAAAAATAAATATATAATCACTTTATGAGATTGTCATCAATGTTTAGGCTTTCGTTCTCGATATCGATGTTCGTCGATGGATCGAATTGACGATATTCGACAAAGTTCGCGTCAGGAAAGCGAAAAAAAATGTCGCCGTACGATTGGTCGGCTGAGGTATCATCGCTAGGAGAGAATTTAGGGGAAAAGAGGGATTGCCTGTCGTGATCTGATATTTTTTTAAAAATATAATATAAAAAAGGTTTGTATTTTTTTTAACCCGTAAATAACGAATTTTTCCCACCTCCTATTCAAAACTTATTTTTGCAAATTTAAAATGGCGACGATACATAATTTCAAGTAAAGTTTAGAAACGATGATTAAAAAGTAACTCAGCATTTGCAGTTAGCGCGAATTCGCGGGGAAAGTATACGTAAATACACATAAAATGCATTGCGCACTTCGCCGCGAATATCGCGCAAATTATGAATGCGAGGTAACACTGTTTGCCGATTGCACGAATTTCGCGGCGGAGAGTATAAAAATTCAGCGCACCTATTTTATAACCCGCCGCGAAATCCGCGCTTAACCATAAATGAGGAGGGGCAACGCTATATAATATTTAAATAAAATCACGGTTAACCTTCGTCAGAAACGTTGGGATAGGAAGCCATCTTAGCGGCGGCATCGTGAGTGTCGCACCAAACTAACAAGTACGCTTCGTTTTCGATCTCGTTTAAGTAAGGGGAACGATCACTAATTTCCTTTTTAAAATTTAAAAAAAGTTTAATAATCTTATCGTACAGTAGTTGGGAACCGAAAGAGGAACCCAGTCAAATTTGAAAACTGGAAATAAGATTTTCAGGAATAGGAATTAGAAACCGCTTTTAGAAAATAGATACGCAGAGCCTGAACCCTACTTGTGCTACGATTATTATATTACCGAATTCAATGTTTCCGCGTCTACCAAGGCAAATATGTTCCCCTCGTTCCGCTCACTGATATCTTCACTTCCGCCAAAAGAGGTGTATTCATCCGCCTCACGCAAGCCGCAAAAAATTTCCCGATCAAATTTAAAGGATTTGGCTCCGAAGGCCACCAATTTTATGCCACCACCATGATTGTTTTCTATGATTGAGTCACGATGATCGGGTGATTTCGCATCATCGTGAGACGGGGGGAGTAAGGACCTTAGGAACTTGTAAAGATCCTCAACAAACTCGTTCCTGAACCGTATATTGTCGACTAAATCGGACCACTCATACATAAGAGCGGAAGTTGCCATGCTGGTTAAGTTCCGAATCTGGGATTTGGAAATCTTATCACCTTTATTTTTTTTTACCCATTTTGAATAGAGCACAAATTTTCAGAAAATAAATTTAGTATTTATTAGATAGCTCGGGAAAACAATTTTAAAAAAATTTTACTTTTATTACTGTTGATGCTTTCCCTCTCTCTTTCATTGGCGGAGACCGAAGAGCATATGTTAAACGTTTTCTTACAATCAGCGATTTCGAATGCCATGCGATTGATCGTCGCAAGGCATCGCGCGAGAAATGAGGAATCTGGGGTATCTCCTTTTCAATATAAAAAATTTATAGTCAGCTGATTTGTCTAAATTTCTATTGGGGCGTTATCTTATTATTATTTTTTTTTGAAATGACGTCTTATGCCAATTATCGAGCATGCGTCGTAAGTTTTCGATGGAAATATAATGGTAGCTAAATGGGGGGGGGGAATCATATGATTTTATTCTTTTTTAAAAAAAATCGAATAAGGAATCATTAACTTGATATAATATCCGGGGATCTCGTCATTAATAGTGATTCAAACTCGACCTCTCGGATAGCTAAAGCGTGGCAAATTTTCAGCAATTTTTTCAAACCGCGCAAACGGGTAGCGTTACTCAAAACTCTCTCCCAAATGCCGTACTCTACTAAACACTCTTTTAAAAATGTAAGATATTAATAATAATAAATCAATGTGGATAGAACATTTATTTAAAAGAAACATACTATTATATATACATTTTATATAAAAATTATATAATTAATTAGAAGAGAAGTTTATGTTTGGTAGGCGAGGCTTAATGACCCATGTATATATGATATATACTGCTAAATCGACAAATTTCGATTGACATTCTTTGTCGCAGGTAATGGTTTTTTTATTAATTAGCCCCCCCCCCCCCTCCCATATTATTAGTGTCATAAATGTAGTGGGTTGTTAAATGGCTCGATTTAGACAATTTATAAATCAGGATTTTTAGTCAAAAAAATAATATAAACGAAAAGTCTCGAAATCTCGTAAATAGATAGACGTGCAAACCTGTCAGCCATCTACGAGTTAGATCTTACATGCTTGCGTAATATATATTTTTTTTGTAAGTTAACAAATGATTACAAATTTATAACCCAAGCAAAAATAAGCACAAAAATGTTCATAAATTTTTATATTTATTTATTAGGCTTTACTAAAATATCAAAATATTAAAACAAATTTTCGAAACTTTAATAAAAAATATATTAATAAGCTATTTTTAAATATAAAAATAAAATCATGCCCAAAACATTCTATAAATGTAATTTCAAAAATTTAACAATAGCGAAAGTTTTGAAACTTTTCTAATTTCTATAAAAGGGGCTTGGATAAAACCTTTTAAATAAGGATTAAAATATATAAATCTAACTATCATCTTCTTGGATCGCGGGGCTTCCATCTCTATGCTCATGATCAAAGAGGTTTGGCGGCAAAAATATTTGAACGAATGATATGGCTAAGAGAAAACAAAACTTTATTAAAATTAACCCGTTTTAGCCGGAGCTTAAACTTAATAAGGTGACATAATATACACCTCAAATTATTACAGTGAGGAGTGAATACACTCCTATATCCCTTTGATGCACTCACCTCCTTGTTTACCTTGGTTATCGGGATTGGAGGCAAAACACGTGAATATGAAAATAAAATTAATATACCTCTTGTATAAAAGTTATTACACTGACCAAGGTCAACAAGGAGGTAAGGGCATCAATTTTTTTTACTAAAACAGCTATTTCCACCCTTATAAGAACTACGAGTAACCCTTCTCCCCCTAAACCTAACGGTTGTGGGAGATATATCCTAATACTAATATCATTTTTTTTTAATTCATAAATTTTTTGTATCCACGAAGGAATAAATCTATGGTTTTTATTACTATAATAAAACCTTTTTTGCCGGTGTTGTAGGGTTTGGTGAATAGGAAAATATTTTTCCAAGACGAACCGTGGGTCAGAATAGGTCTTTTGCGGAGAAGACGGTCATCGGCGAAGAGCTAGTTTTAAAGAAAAATAAGTAAATAATTAATATATATCTCCACTTCCGCCCCCCCTCCACCTTCTGAAATATTAAAAATAAAATATATCAATTTTTTTTAAACAAAAATGAATTTTTTTAGGGTTTTTACTAATTATATAAATTGTTATTATGTATGGCGCTAAATATTAACAACTATTATTATAACATTTTACTATAGATGGCGCTATATATCAACAACATTCTTTCAAATATAGAGACCAGTGCAAGGGTGCACAAACTTTTTTCCGATCAAACCTGACCCTTAGGAATAAAGTTTTCTGGATCCGATTATAAAAAATAATTTTATATTTCCGACCCAATTGGCCCCTTAAAATATTTTTTTCAGAGATCCAAACTGAAACGATAAGTAAAATTTTTTTTTTCATTTTTATTAATTGTACATTATAAAATAATATTTAATTTATAAATATAACAAATAATTATATCAATGATTTATTTTAATATGAACAATTACTTAAATTTTTTTTATTAAGCCGCACAATTAATATATTTTCAAAATTCGTCTCACTCGAATTACATCTATAAGGAGATAATATAAATTTAATTGTTGAAAACATCTTTCCACACTAACTTGGGGTAGCTGGCATTGCCAGTATGATATTAGATTTGATGTGTCATTTATAATGCTATATGTAAATAATTTATATATTAGATTTAATTTTTTTCTAGGCATTATAATTTATAAGCTTAAAATATTAAAAAATGTTGTAAAATGGCAATATACTAAAGTTTATAAAAATTAGATTGATAATAATTTTTACAATTTGAATATAATTATAATTTTTGCAATGTACTACTAGTAATAACTTACACATTATTTTATAAGCATAAAATTATGAGACTCTAACCGGTTCAGAGGCATTTTAGCGGTTCGGTTCATGTTAGGCTAGAATTTTTTTTAGAGGTTTAGGTTTAGTGATAAAAAATAACGGTTTAGCGGTTCGGTTTGGATCCCTGATTTTTTTGAGCCCGGATAATACTATTAAAAATAAAAACTCACTAACTGAATCGTGTTTAGCTGATTTCTAATTACAAATAAGGTATTAAGGAAGAAAATAAATGATTAATTGGAATTAGCCAGAAGGCATAGGTTGAAATTTAAATCTCCCGATCTCATTATAAACACCGAATGACGATTCCGACATTTGGCCAACTCGACGAAAAATTTCTTGACCGAAAACCCAATTTAGAAAATAAGGGTTGTATTTCATGGCGTATAAAAATAATTTTTTTTTCCCGCAAAATAGTCTCTTCTCTTCACCTCGGAAATCGCGACAAATTCTTAAGATCTGAAAACGCTTTTCAAATTACGAACCGTAAATAGAATCCGTTTTTCACAAATATTTGAATATAGACTTCGAATCAGATTTTCGATATTCCAAAAAAGAAGCATATCCGGTTATAGTCCAAAATAATGGGTGGTCATCTTCCTCCCTTTTTTGTCAAATATTATCATCCTTTGAATCTTAACTTTTTTTAAAAAAAAACTGACTCGATAAAAATCCTAAAAATTTTTTTTTTGAGGGATACCAACTTCCATATATTTAATTTTAAAATAAAAAAAATACGAAATTTCAACGCCATTTTAAAGGTCATAAAGATTTTAAAAAAAACGCGACGTTTTTTTTTGAGTCACACCCGTATAGGTTTATAAATTTTGTCATTTTGAAAACATGTGATGAATAGGAAGGAAGAAAGAAACATTGATTCGAATTAGTATTGAAAAAAACGGACATTATGTTTGTGACTTAGCAGAATATAATTTTTTTATGTATAGTTTTAATAAATTTATATTTATTAAGGTAATCGTACATTAAAAAAGTGGTCTGGCAAGTTGGGGGAAATGCAGAAGGTGAGTAGATGTTGTGACAGGTAATACAAAAACTTGGGAATATTGTCACGTGGCTGGTGTACGTATGCCGGGATTGGCAATCTTGATTTAAAACGAATATAAATCAGGTAATAAGGGGAGAAATAAACAACAACAAACAAATTTAAAAAAAAAACACCAAGTTTTGTTTTTTATTTATCAATTTTTAAGAGGTCGTTTCTTAGTGTTGTTAATAAAACTAGATTTAGTAGACTAACTAAATAGTTCGAAAAATTCGACTAAAAACTTTAGCCAATAAAATAGTCGATTAGTCGACTAAGATAGAACCAATGACATATAATAATACCTAGAGTGACGATTCTTTCATAATAAAGCATTTCGAAGCGTCGTTAACATGCAAATCAGCTGGACCCGCCATTTTGATAACCCATATAGTAATTATTCTCATGTTAAAAACTACTATTAAATCGATAACTTTGCTTCCTTATCATCTCGATGATCGGGCAATTCTTTAATAAAGTTTGCGTCAGACATAAGGAATAAATTGGTCATCTCGTTCAAAATTTTTAATAATGATTTGGGTAATCAAAATGGCGTCCCCAGCTGTTCTTTAATGAATGCATCGTCAGTCAAAGGGTAGGTACTATTATATGTCATTGACTACGTCTAAAATTATTAATTTTTATTATACATTTATTTTTATAAAAATTCAACCTAATTTTTCTTATTTAATAAAATAAAAATATTTTGTAAAAATCTACAAAATATTAGATTTGGTGCCAAAGAATGGAGGTAAAAACAAACAAATTCAAAAATAAATTATTAGCAAATCCACGAAGTTAGTCGACCAAATTAGTCAATTAATCGACAAATTTAGCCGCTAAAAAAGTTTTCAGTAGATTTCCTCAATCGGAAGAAGTCGTCTAGTTAATAACACTAATCGTTTCTCTCTTTTTGAAAATGTAATAAATTTTTGATTTAGAATTATTCAAAAAAAACACAATCTGTTTTTTTAAAAAAAACTGTATTTCTTTGTTTTATTCTATTCTAACGAAAAGAAGTGACAAAAAAAAATAGGAAAAACTTAAATTTTCTTTCTTTCAGCTGTTTTTGATTTATTGATTACAAAAAATCCCTTTTATAAAGTGGAACACGTTGTTTCAACCAAAAATTAAAACTACCAAAAAAAATCCAATAGTCGAAATATAATGATAAAAATAATGTGGAGATGATAGGACCAAAAAATGACCACGAGGAAAAAGAAGTTATAACAATAATATATCTATATATAAAATGTAACTTGAAATATAATCTGGGCTTGTCGTGAGGATGTTTGAGGAAACTAGCGTCGTACGGAAACAGTTTGTGCTTGGGGTTCCTATTAATAGTGACCCAAAGTATATCCGTAACCGCTTCATCGAGCCGGTTTTCCAAAACCTTATCGAGAAGAAATTTTTATAATATATATATATAACTATATAATAGGATCTAGTGTTGTTAAACGGTTCGATTAGCGCCGATTTTTAAAAACGCTTAACTCAATATTTAATGATCCAGTATAATATTACGCAAGTCTTAAGATTTTACTCGTAGATGGCACAAAGGTCTCTAGACATGTATAAGCGAAATTTCGAGGCTCAGGTATTATTTTTCTTGCCAAAATATTGGGCCAGGCGTTTAGCAACACTAATAGATATTACCAAAATGATAACGAAAAAATATATTCTATTAGGTTCAATCATCTTTTCTTTCTTTCTTTCTTTCTTTCATTCATTCTTATAACTCATTTTACTTTGATAAAATCTTTCTTGATTTGATCCCCGGGCTGAGACAGGCCGTAGAAGTTGAGGATCAGAAACTCGTCGTGATATCTATATTTACAAAAAAAAAATCATGATTTAAACAAAATAGCATTTTTTTTTAAAAAAATCACGATTTAAATCGTTGATTAATTTATTTTTTAGAAAAATAAATATTTAAAAAAAAAAAATCAAATCACTTTTTCTTTCTTTTTTTTTGTAAATTATATTTTTAAAACGATTAAATTATTAATTCTTTATTTTCTTACATTTAATGTATTTTTTTCTCAATAAACATATTTAACGAGGTTCATCGTTTCTAAACGTTCTTTATAACCGGTGTAGTTAAACGGCTTGGTTTGAGTCGATTTTTGAAAACGGCTAACTCAATATTTCATCTAGACTAATCTTACGCGAACCCTGAAGATTTAGTTAGTTGAAGGAACTAAGGTTGTTGGAACATCTATTAGCCAAATCTCGAGGAGGCATAGGGCAATATTTTTCTGGCTAAAATACTGAGTTAGCCGTTTTCAAAATCCTGCTGAAAACGAGCCGTTACAACACTACTTATAATTGATTTTACCTCATTCCTATTCCTTATAATTATAATTTAAAAAAAAAAAACTAAATAAATTTTTTTTCCCCGGTTCTACGGGTTACTCTATTTGAATATTTTACTTGATATGATATGTTGTCAAAAATGTAGTAGCGAATAATTAATTTTTTAAAAAAAGGTAAAATAAATAAAGGTGAAAAATGTAGAAATAGAATTTGTGGGAAAGGATATGGGATTAAAAAAAGGAAGTTTGGAATATGGAAGGTTATTCAATGGAAGAGATGAAGCTTAGATGGGGTCTCAACTCTTTGGCGTAAGAATAGGGATTCTTATTTTTTTCCATTAATAATTTTTTATAAATATATTGGTATTAAATAGTGTTACCAAAACTACTTAAAACTTTAGTCAACTATTAAAGAGCATATAGTCATGGTTTTTTTTATCAAAAAAAAAATATTGGAATCAATCTTCAGGATGAGACTCGACTCAGATGCTTAATTCAATTTTTTAGGCTAAATGGCTTGATTAATCCAGCAATAGGGATGTTCAAAGTTAGGTAATTTAACAGCACTAGTAATAAATACATTTTCACGAGTTTCAATCATTTCAAATGGGAAGCATATTTATCAAGATGATTTATTTTTTTTTGCTTTTACCGGAAAATACAACCATATTGAAAATAATTTTTGCAATTTCTTTAATGAGAATTTTTAAGGGCTAAATAGAAGATATATAAAATTTGTTACTTGTCGACCAAAAAAATATTCTGAGAATCTTAAGATTGGTTAAAGGAGGAAAAGGTTCTCATCGAACTCCGAAGAACCATAACTCTGGATACATTTGAGCTAGAGCAATTAAGATTTTGGATTTGCATAAAGTGTACAAGCAATTTAACCTTTATTCTAAGCTTCATCCATTTTAAAAATGGTCGTTCGAATCATTGGTCAATCGACCAAATTACCTAATACCGGATTATATAATAAAATCATTTAATCACCCTGATTTGCAATTGTACGCCACAAACGAAAATATGTTAAACTTAAAATAAATTAATAAGAAAGTAGGCGCGAAGAAACCTATTATCGAAACGGAAATCGGTTGGCATTTGAACAGACCCGTCCGATCCGTAATCCCCTAAAATGTCTTTCGTGGTCGCGGGCGTCAGGTTGAAATAGAAAATATTGTTGGATCCACCCTTGACGTTCTCAAAATTTTGCGGGCTTTTCCCTCCGTCTCCCACAGCTGCGTCAGCATTTTCGGCGCCAACTTCGACCATTCGCCCTCCTTCGTTAGTCCTTATAGCCATAGCATCGTCACCCTTAGATTCGACCGTAGCCATACCCTCTGCATCCAAATTATTTGCTTCATCATCATCATCGTCATCTATCTCTCCGCCAGTGTCCATAACATAGTCTTCCCCGAGCATTTGGGAAGAATCGAACCCACTAATTACGCTATTGACGCTGTTACCACTGTCGAAGTGTCTCCGACTATTTCCTGTTAAACATGTCGCATAAGGGTATAGAAAATTAAATGTGCCAGGCTTTGTAAATCTATATTGTCCGTTTTTTTTGTTACAATTTTGGACGACTCAATTTTTTCCGAGAATCGCTATCTCTAAACGTGAACGGAGAGTGCCGACCGTACTGCTGTGAATTTTAGATAATTTGGCCATAAATTTTTTTGAGTCATTTTTTAAAATTTCACGAAAGAAATACTCGGAATACTCTCAAGGGTAAGGTTACTTTATACATGTCGAGAACAGGACTTCCACGACTTTCAAAAATTTGTATAAAATGGGCGCCAAAAATTTATTAAAATTTTTTTTTAACGATTTGCTAAGAAATCTAGACTCACCAAATACGTACATACTAGAGATGTACCGATATAATTTATCGGATCGGATCGAGACCATATATCATCCTTTTTAAAATGTCGGTTATAGGCCGATATTAATTTTTCCGAACCGATCAAATAACATAAAATAATACCTAGACTGACGATGCCTTCATTAAAAGTGTACATCAATGAAAAAACAGCTGGGGAGGCCATTTTGATTGCCCATATCATTATTAAAAAATTAAACAGATGCCAATTTATTCCAATGTCTGAATGAGAATAATTAACTACACGAGTTACCAAAATGGCCGCTCCAGCTGATTGGCATTCATCGACGCTTTCGAATGCTTTATTATGAATGCAACGTCAGTTTAGGTAATATTATAATGTCATTAAACCGATCAGACAAAATGACGTCGTAATTTAAAAAAAAAAAATTTATCACAAATTATTATGTAAATTAGATTAATGTTATCGTGTACAAATAAGTGATATATCAATAAAATTTTAAATTCCAGAATATAAACTATAAGTGATCAGTTATAATATGTTTTAAATAACTTATGTTATGGTTATAGTTAAATTATTGATGTTTTGTACAATCAAAAACGAGATTTAGTGGATGTATGTAGGTATGGCAGAGACGTGCAGAAGTACCATTTGTACGGCCTGGATTTTTTTTGTCAAAAATTATTTTCGGCCACTGGGTTTTTTTTTAAAAAATATATTTTATTTATTTTTGATTTTTATAGCTCATAATGGCGATTTCAAATATTTGGTTTTAAAATCTAGGCCCGGATATGCAAAATCCTTCCATTTGAACATATTTTAGCCAAAAAAAATATTGTCTATGTCTGCTAATAAATGCCCAAACCTTAATGCCATCCATCAGGCTTATATAATATTTTTCTGGATTAACGAGATAGCCAGATATATATACATTAAAAATAAAAACGATTAGAATGTTTAAAGAATACAAAATCGGATATGATATCAGATCGGTAATCGGCTGATATCGATTTAATATCAAATCGACCTCCGAGAAGTAGCATCGGTACATCTCTACCACATATATTTTGTTACTAAAAATTATTGTATTTGAAAAATGGTACACTCAAATAGTTAGAATAACGATGCTTTTACAAGGTAAATATATACGAAATTTTTAGGTTCAAATAAAAAAAAAAGAAAATACATTTACTTTCGTTGCCGGCTGAGTAATCATCCGATTCCCTAAAGACGTAATATCCGGGTCTATTGAGCACCCCGAAAAACTTGTCCAGAACGGCTGATCCTAAAAGCCTCAAGGCCGGGCCGAAAGCGTGGTGAGGCGGAGAGGTGTAAGGAGAAAGCCTGGGTTGAAGTGACAGGGCGTAACGCCACACCAAGCGACAAGAGAAGCGACCCTGGGCGAAGGAAGGAACAACTTTCGATTTATTCGTTTAATAGGAGTGAGTGAGTGAGTGATAATTATAGTATATCCTGATAGAACACTAAAAAACTTTTCTTTTTTTTTAAAAAAAAATGGTTGGGAAAGGGTGAAGTGGGGAGTCGTGGAACTATCAAGAAAAAAAGATTTATAATCCGGGAACGATTTAATGTTTTATTTATTTATACTCGCATAGGGATTATTGTAATGGCGACGTTCCTGATCAAAAATCAAATCATGCCTCCTATCGGGAATCAAAAGAATGTTGGCGATTCCTGTAAAAAAAAATTGAAAAAATATTTATATTTTTAAAAAAAAGAAATAAAAACAATAAAAAAAAAATAAAAGATTAGAAAAATATTAAACGTTTTAATTGAAAGAAAAATTTTTTTTTTTATTTTGTAAACTTGTTTGGAATAGATTTTCCAGAAGTAATCGGCAGTTAACTTTTTCGAAATTCAGCTTTATTTTAGCTACGAGACGACGGTAGAGCGACAGATTATTGTTGTAAGCCCTTTCATTGCTATTCTCTAACGGACTTTTTTTAAAAAAAAAAAAATATTATTAAGATTACAAAGAATAATTTCTTTCTTTCCTTTCTTCCTTCTTTCTTTCTTTCTATCTTTCTATCCTTTCTTTCTTTCTTTCTTTCTTTCTTTCTTTCTTTCTTTCTTTCTTTCTTTCTTTCTTCAATGAATGACATGAATGCACAATTAATTATGATATTTTTAAAAAATAATATAATATATATACCTCATGTGCATGTAAACGACGCACCTTTCAACCGTTATACGTACGATTATAGAAAAATTTGGAATATGTATTATACCGTTTTGATTGACGCCATCACTTACGATAGATAATGAGAGGGCTGTATTGAATCGAATATCGGTTAAAAAAAACATTGATAATATTTTTTTTTTAAAAACTGATCACATAAATTAAAATGAAACCTTTTAGGCCCAAGCCGGATTCTTTACTATTGACGGGTAAGTTGATGCCAATCAAATCGCTCGAAGATTTGCTATCCAAAATAATATAAATAAAAGTGCCCGAATTATAACCTCTAATACAAATTCACTAATTTCGATTTTTTTTCGAAAATAAAAAAAAACTCTATTCAGGGTCGGTCTACTGGTCAGAACCCAGAAGAAAGTATAGCAGAAGAGTTTCCAAAAACTGAAACTGTTGGAAAAACATGAATTTTTTTAAAAATCATTTTCCGGTTATATACTAAAACTTTCAGGGTCCATTGCAAGTCAATATTTGCTTTGTAAAATTATAAATTAATACTAGAAAGGATAAGGCCTCATTTATAGTAACCGCGCTGATGAACAATAACATGACCGCGTTATCTTATTGTGTAAGTTAAGCAGCGAAACGCGATTTCGTTCCGCAAGTTACCATAAATGAGGCCAAACTGAGAAAACGACAAATTATTTAATACCTAAATTTACGAGATATCGCGAGTGTTTGCCATTCCGTGTTACTGCTCAAGATCCCGACTAAAAATGTTAGTGGCAAACTATTCGTCTTTTCCCCGATATCCTCATTACGTGTTGGATCATGTCTCTGTCTCTCATGAAATGGGCGTTGTTCTGGGGGGTCTTCAATAAAGACAGGGACCAATTTAGCGAAACTACAGGGCTTCCCGGGAAAGTCTAAAAAAGGAAGACTGGTATCGTGGGAAAGGGAGTCCACGAATAGCTCCAGGCTTCGCTCGTAATCGCGAACGAAGAGCAAGGGGAATTGTCGTTTAAACATGTGATCGGCCCTAGATTCGTTTCCGTTATTCTCTCTGTTTTCCATCCTATCGCGGCGCTGGACGTGATCAGATGAACGATATAGCAGATTATGGACGAACCATAATTTAAACGCTCTCGACTCCCTTTTGTAAATCCTATCCAAAGCGTGAGAGATCGAGTGGAGGGAATCACCGCTGCTATCATCATTCGTGAACGAGGAGAAACTTTTTTGCTCGGAAAAAGTGGAGAATGAGGTTGACGAAGAAGCCAACGATGCCGAGGATGAAACATTTTTGGATGATTTAGATTTCTTTGGAAGGGATGACCCATCGTTATCATCGGTGAGGGGGAACGAAGAATACGAACTACTAGAAGAGCTATAAGATGAGGTCTCAGAGTTGGGAATCTTGTGCTTGAAAAACTTTTCGATCATTTCTAGGCCTTTCTCCAAATGATCGATCCTAATATCTACTCGCTCAATCGAAGGCATATTGTTATTGTTAGATCTATCGCGCAATAAATCGGGGATCGGATCGAGGTAGCCATTGATCATGGCGGCGTCTTGAACGTACCAATGGACCCGTTTCATAAAACAATTCCAAAAATGTCTACCCTCGCGGGCTATATAAGTTCGAACGGTATTGATTTCGGTTTTGGTTTCGGCTTCTATTTTCCTGGCGTTCCGTCTCACCCTACGACGCTCCTCTTTTTTCCTAACCCTTTTTCTTCTATCGGCATATTTTTCCTTCTTCGTATTACTCGCCGCGTCCCGCGATTCCAGGGTAACGATAGGAGAAATCTGAAAAGTCTCCACGACTTTGATGATATTTCTGGTCAAGACGGATCGGCTGAAAGAATCGTCCGTGGAATAATCGCTGAAAGAGATGCGGGTAGAACTGGGGAGGGATGAACGAGAAGGAAGGCACTTATCTCTTTTTTCTGATTCGTAAGTGGGATACAGATACGTGATGTCCAAAGTCACCTTGGAGTTCCTTTGGGAGAATAGGATTTCGTGAGAATTTTCGGGGTTTACCAGTGCCGAAAGATCTCCTTTTTATTTTGAATAAAAAAAAATGGGGAATGAAGATTTGGCGTAGAGTGTAAAAAAAAGGCCATCAATCAAATCGATTGACGAACATCAATCAATGTCTCCGAACAAAGAAAATATGAGATACGAAATAAGCTACGATCATGAATGAATTTATCAAAAAAAAAATGAAAAATGGGAAACTTAAACAAGCCGGGATTTCGATGAAAGGGAATGTCTCGACGTCTCCGCCAACGTTACGACCTGCATTACAACGGCGGCGGACCGATAGCGCTAAATGAACGAAAAAGGGCTTGTGGGCAATCATCTCTCTAATGGCTCTGTTAGATCTGTGATCGTCGTAAGACCACGATTCTTCCAATGGATGATGATTATCGTCGACTACGTTCGAAGCACTATAATTACTTTCGCATTTGGCTAAAGATCGATTTCCCGCTTTTAGGAATCTGTAATGAGGTGAAGACGCTATGGTTTTGAATATCGAATCTATCATTCCGGCGAATTCCAGTTTGAAAAAAGAATGAGGACAGGTTCTAAAACCGGGAGTGATTATAAAACAAAACGTATTATCAATGGAAGGAAAAAAATAAATAAATTACATCTTTTTTTTTTAAAGAGAGTTACGAAATAATGAATGAATGATAATTAAATTAAGATCGAGATAGAAACGTATAATCTAATGCAAATATTATGGGTAATTTTGATTACTTTTTTAAAAAAAATTCCTGGTTCGGGCCGGGCAAAACTTTTTTAAAAAAATTTCGGGCCGGGCCTGGGTTTTCTTTCTCTTCTCTTTCTCTTCTCTTCTCTTCTCTTCTTTTCTCTTCTCTTCTCTTCTCTTCTTCTTCTCTTCTCTTCTCTTCTCTTCTCTTCTCTCTCTCTTCTCTTCTCTTCAAGGAAGGAAGGAAGGGAGAAGAGAATACTAGGCCCGATGCATATCATTAATGTCTTATTACTAGTGCTGTGAAGTAACGTCGAAAAAGTTTTGAAGAAAAAGAACGTCATTCGCTACCTTCATCTAAAGGTAACGAGTATCTGTAACGCGTTTCTTTTTTTGAGTAACGGTAACGCAAAACGTTACTTTATATTTTTCCTTAAAAAATATCAATAAAAAGAAAAACATTATAAAATTACTTTTATTTTTCTTTTAATTCTTAATATTAATCATTTAAGTCGAGTTTTGATTCATATCAACCACTTCCAACATTTTTTTTAAAATTCTCTCTGTTAAATTATCAGTCGAAATTAATATTCAGTCAAAATTCAAAGTAAATATAATGATATTATTAAATAATTTATTTTAAAAGAATATTATGTCCATAGTAGTTACTTCTTCAGATGAAGAAGATTTAACCCTTCCCTGGCCCCAATTTGAAATATATTTTAAACCAATTAAGAAAATTAATGGTACCAAGTCTACACTTTGTAAATGTAAATTATGTCCCAACGCAAATATTTCAACGTCAATGTCAAGTAGCTCAAACTTAAAAAAACATTTGAAGGTAAAGAATGGATAAATATTGATTCCTTTATCCAACACACACACTAGAATATTTTCATACAATGATAAAAATTTTTTTGACCAGGAAATGAATGAAGATCTCTGTGAAGATGACCTTTCAAGCTTTTTTCAAAATAATGATATTTCCTTAGATATTTTTAATAAATTCCCCGAATTGAAATTTTTGTTTATTAAACCACTCTCCCATCCTCTGCGCCAATTGAACGTGTGTTTAGCACGACGAAAGCTGTGTTGAGTACTAAGTGCTCATGTTTATCTGATCAAAATTTTGAAAAACAATTGTTGTTAAAAATAAATAAAAAATTGTTACATAAAGATGTTATCTTATAATATATTATTTTTGTATAATTTTATTCATATTATAATGGTATATATGAGAATTTTTTTTAAAACGATCATATTCTTTTTGTAAAGTTTTATTTTATTTTATATATATTCGGAAAAAAAATAAATATTATTTTTGTATAGTTTTATTTTATTATATATATATTCGGAAAAAAATAAATATTATTTTTGTATATATTTAATATTTATAAGTCATGAGTAGCTCGTTACTTGTTTGTAAAGGTAACGAGTGATTGTAACGCGTTCCTTTTTTCAGATGTAACGAGTAACGTTAACGCGTTTCTGTTTTTGTAGTAACGTTTACAGCACTACTGATTACTATATTAGGTTTTATTTATGTAAAACGAGAATGACTAATACTAATTAGACATTCATTGTAAAGATGGAGATCTTCGACAACTTCGAATTTATTTTTCAAAAAATGTTATAACAAACTTTTTGAATTCGATGGTTTTTATTTCCCCAGGAAACTCAAACTCACATTTTATGATTTTTAAAATGTTATAACAAACTTTTGAATTCGGATGGTTTTTATTTCCCCAGGAAACTCAAAACTCACATTTTATGATTTTTAAAAAAATTAAACAAATAAGTGCCGTAAAAGTTACTTTTTTTTATTACTTCCCTATAAAAAAAAGGGAATCCATTTCCTTTACTTTCACAATATAATACTATCAAAGATATTACCCATACGTTGTTCACCCTGTTCTCCAGTGATTCCCTAGTTTAAAATGGTTGACCAAATAAAATATTCCGGAAAAAGTGTCCTAGAATTCTTTCTAGCACCAAAAATACAAGAGACCTTCTAATATGTGGGAGGTGGGGGGTGGGTTTATGATTCAAGATCCTCATTCAAATAAAATAAAGGTATTTTTAAGGCATAAAAAAATTCATGGAGGGGGGAGGGTGTATATAAATACTTGTCAGGGGTACCCTTTTTAGTAAAAATATGAGTTGATATCTATTTTATAATTAAATTATTTTAGTCATCGGGGGGAAGGTATGGGCGGAGGCTCAGAGAGTGGTCTAAGGTGGTCAGAAAGATTTTTTTTTAAACTAAAAATAGCTTATAACCTGGTCAAGCAAGCGGAATTTCTGTAATAATCGCTGACATCCAATTCCATCAATCTTTCTTCGCATATAAATTCCATACAAAAATCGATGTCCACTTTATCGACCTAAGAAATACAACAAAATATGATTAAAAAAATGTCTTAAAAAAATAATTTATCGGAGCGCGTGCGCGTTATAAGGAGCGTAAGACTTTAAAAAAGTGAAAATAAATAAACGTCCAATCACGTCATTCATATGAATTTTTTGAGCATTATTCAGGGTTAATTTAATGAGGGTAACATCTATTAAAATATCGTTCACTCCACTTTCCCATCCCTCTCGACCGCCATTTCTGTATTTCCCCCGATTTTAGGCTTAAAATTTATGGCCCTCTCCCTGTTTTATCCGAATTTACAAGATTCACAAATCCAATCAATCTATGTAATTAATTGGCTTAATTTATTTTTTTTTCCCTTTCGGAAAGAGATCATATACAAATTTATTGATCGACGTTACACCTGTATATCGTAGGTAAGGCAGTATTGTATCGAAACAGTGAAGGCCTTCAAATAACACCGGTGGATGAGTGTCAAGTTGAAGAGAATCGATAGGATCGGAATTTCTGAGTGGGATTGGCTCAACGAGGACAAATGTATGAATGGGTCGTAGTTGATGATCTCCTGAAAATTCTATTTTCATTTAAATTATAAAAAAAAAAGTAATAGAGAATTCTTTGGCAACTGATTTTCAGAAATTACCATCATTACCTTATTAGTAAAATCGCAAGCGTAATATGAGCGGGCCGCGTTCTCCACGCCTCCAGTCTTGGTCCTGTTTTCCGCGAAGGTCTTTCCATCGTGCCACGCGCAGAGTACCTTGAAAACCTTTTGACCGAAGCATCGCTCGCTCAGAATGTGTAAGATCAATAGCGCCCCATCTTTCTTCAAATATTTTACGAAATATTCTCGGTTCAAAATATTTCCGCCAGATTTTCCTTTAACAGCGTCGGATCCGCGATACGCCACATCGCTGTCATCGTTATCAAAGGCTGCCGTGGTAGCGTAAGGGTAGTAAGATGTTTTCAAGTGGGCCACAAAATTTTGGAGCAAAATTTTATCGCTAACATTTAGACCTAGTTTTAAAAATATCTGTATCACGTTATTTCCTCTTGAGGTTAAAATGTGTTTGGTATTTGGCGTGCAATTAAAAAAAATTTTTTTTTTTACTAAAGATTCTCTTAGATCACTATTTAAAAAAAACACCATAAAAATCAAGCATTAAAAAAATAGGATGCAATATTTTCCAAGAGTCTAAGAATTAATCTAATCATATCCTGGAGAATTATCGGGGACGGAAACAATTTTCGTAGACTTCAAAATAATTATGTGATTAGAAAAAAAATCTTAATTTTATGAGGAATGGCGGGAATTTGTGCCAAATGAGTTTATAGGCATGACTGATCCAACCGTGGCGGGAAATGGGTCACGGGAACAGTTTGACGGACAAAAAAGATACAGTATTATTACCGTTTTTTTTCGCTAGCTTATTTTATGGTCATGCATGATTTCGACTTTATCAAAAAAATATATTAAAAAATCCTGTCAAATTGTCCAATAGAATTTCATTATTGTGACTCGTGATCATATATCGTCAAAAGTGTGTACCGTACCCTGAGAGTTCTCCTCGCGACAAAACAAAGAGAAAGTAAGCTCAAGACGGATAGAAGCCGCGTCCAAAAATTTAGCGAAAAACGCGCTTTGATCTATAACACTATCTAAGTGTCGCGATTTGCTTATCAGCTGCGCATCGAACAGTTCAAACGTAGGAGCAAATAGATCATCTTTATTCTCAATCGATATCGACTGCGATTGGCTGATAAAAAGTTCTCGATAAAAATTCGCGTATTCGATGGTTTCATGACTCACGACGTGTCCGTCCTCTTTCCTCCCACGCTTTTCGAAACGCGAGTTCGACGAGAGGAAAGAGCGTTTTATCTTGCGAGAAGAATCATCGACGTTTCTCGGGCGGGCCAAACGATGGAACAATATCAAGTTGTTTACCAGATCTTCGTCCCCGGCGAATATCTAAAAATTATACAAATAAGTACATTGATATATTAAACTAAGCGCAAGGGGGGGGGTAGAGGAAACTGGGGCAAAGCGGTTGACGGAGGCAATAATGTTAACGCGAAAAAACGTTCTAACCCCTTATCATAAAGACCTTAGAAGAGAAGAGAAGAGAAGAGAAGAGAAGAAAGAGAAGAGAAGAGAAGAGAAGAAGAAGAAGAGAAGAGAAGAGACGAGAAAGAAGATAAAGAAGAGAAGAAATTAGGTGTTAAGATGTATTTTAATTTTTCATATCTAATTTCTGACACATGTTTATCGTATAAGCAATTTTCCTCGGGGTTTTACATAGTTTTTTTTTTTACCCAAATAAATACATAAATCACCCTCTAGTTTATTTTTTGCTTTTTTAGCGAATATTAAAAAATTCGCAATACATGTTCATTAGAGTCATAAAAGAACTGTTAAAAATAAAATTTAGCGGAAGTTTATAGCTATAACTAGAAGTCGAGCAATAATGCTATGCATATCGTTAAACGGCTCGTTTTGAGCCGATTTTTAATCAATATTTTAGCCAGAAAAATATAGCCTAAGCCTGGAAATTTCGATGATATGTGTATAGACCTTTGTTCCTTCTATGAGCAAAATCTTCACGCTTGCGTAATATTTTTCTAAGTGAAGTATTGAGTTAGCCGTTTTAAAATATATATCACCTTGGGGGCGGGGGTAAGGTTATAACCGGGTTAAACGTTTTAAAAATAATATTTTTAACTCCGAACGTCTATCTAAACATATTATATACATATATAAATAAAATAATATTTTTAAGCATTAAAAAAAGAGAAACATTAATAAATAGTTTATGAGTTATTTAGAATAAAATTTCTTTAAACAAAATGCACGATGTAGAGTTGTTAAACGGATCAATTTAGCCAAGTTAAAATTACACATGTCATTTCGCGTAATGAATGTCCAAACCTTTCCATCATATACGAGCAAAATCTTCGGGTTCGCGTAAATCTTTTTTTTATTTTTGCCGGAAATATTGGGTCAGCTGTTTTCAAAAATCGAGCCGTTATAACAACACTTCGTAAACGATGCGCTTTAAAAAATGGGTACACACTCAAAATGTGCTAGTTCAACAATTTTAAATGTCATTTCATGGAAATTTTGATAACAGGAACTTAATCGAAGCCGATTTCTTACGAGGGGCCCGAACCTGCCCAAGGTCCATTTTACCCCTGGTTTAATGAGTTGTCCTAATATCGATCTCTGTTTGTTCTGCGGTTTCAAAATGCCCAACCAAACAATTTTAAAATTCCCTGAACCCGGGCTCGGGTTCACATCCCTGAATAAAACAATAAAGTTGATGTGTTTAATTTTTTTTATTTTGTACCAACTTTTATAATTGATGCTGAGCCATTTTACCCCTGGTTATACGGGGGGGGGGGGTAAAATAAATAAAACTGATCGCTTCACCTAATTAATCATAAGTATTATAACTAGAGAGCTATACTATAATTTCTTCTGTTACGTGTTATGTATTTTCAAAATTTCCTGGGGGAAAAAAAAATGCAAACCATTTTACCCCGGTCTCCCCTAGACGATCCATCATTTTTATTATTTTTTTTAAAAAAAAGAGAAATAATCTTTTATTAATTTGAACCCTTAATTATCTCGTGTGTGCCTCCTCGCCAAATATAATGAGGTTCGGAAAATCAAAAATGCGTTTTTCCGGTTTTAAAAAAAACTTTTTGTTTCGCGTATATCCAATCATACTTTTTAAATACCCGCCCGCCCATTTAACCAGCCAGCCCAAATGTTTTAAAAATTATTTTATTGGCTGCTTTAGCTCTTTATTTAATTTAATGTTTTAAATGGATCTAGATACAGATACACTGTCTAAAATAATATCTAGATACAGATATTTTAATCAAAAATCTATCTAGATACAGATACCACATTTTTATATCTAGATACAGGATCTAGATACTTGTATCTAGATCCTTTAAGAACTCTGATTTTTAATTTAAACTTACATAATACGCGCCATTTATTATGAAATAATGGGGAAAAAAAATGATTTTTAATCGAAGTTCCGTTTTGCCTCATTGTGTCCAGAAAAAAATGTTTGAAATTCACCTGCGCATTGTTTTAAAAATAATTTTATTTAAACCCGCCCGCTACCCGCTTACGGTTTAAAATATTATAGAAAACCATCCGCGCCGGCCCGGTGAATCAGCTGGAGCGGGTTGATTCTAAAACTGGATCAGGAAAATCTTTTTTTTAAAAAAATCAAAACCTTTTTTTTTCCTTTTGTTAAAATTTTTTTTTAGTTGGAATAAGGAAACTCATTTTGGAAATCTAATTTCCACTTGTCCTGTTAAAACGCCATTTTCTTGCCATTAATCGAAAATTATTTCGATAATAAATGAATCCCTACTCCCCCCTCCTCCCCCTTCCTATCCATAGTAACAATTTTTAAAATTGGGATATGGGGTATTTATGTATTATTTTTGATTTGTGATGGTTCTTGTAACCTCAATGTTTTCCATTTATATTTAGAATAAAAAATAAAAAAATTAAATAAGACAAGGGCAAATTTTAAATAATATTTCACTATATTAAGCTAATTAGTAATTTTATATTACAATCATCATGAGGTATAGATAGTTCAAATGGCCCATTTCTATTGCAATCGCGATTTTGAAGAGGGAAACGCGTTTTCGGGATGTTTTAAAACAACTAGAATGGAGGCGTCCCTTAAAACGTTCTAATTTTGGCGGGGTAAAATCCGCAGTCTAGAGACTGGAGTTAACCAAAAGTCAGTTAAAGTAGCACCCTATCTTTTGTTTTTTTTTATATAGAGCTGGCAATGGCGAACTATATTTTTGAGAGTGTAGCGTTTGCTACTTAGTCATGTAAAATTTAATAAATATTAACGATAAATAATTTATAATTTCGAAAATTAAAAATTAAGGTTTTTTAAAATTTCAATTTTTATGTTAATTTCAATTTTTGAAATGAAATTTCATAATAATTTAGAGAAGAGAAGAAAGAAAGAAAGTATATCTCCTAAAATAATATATTTCTCTTCTCTTCTCTTCTTCTTCTCTTCTCTTCTCTTCTCTTCTCTTCTTCTTCTTCTTCTCTCTCTCTTCTTCTTCTCTTCTCTTCTCTTCTCTTCTCTTTTCTTCAAAGAAAGAAAGATATAATAAGATGATTGAATTTTTATTTCTAACCACTCCTCAAAAAAAAAAAGATTAAATAAATTACCAATAGAAATTTTGAATCTGTAACATTGATATAAACTTTATATAAGTCCTTCCTAATTTAGCTTCAGGAAAATTGGCTAAATAAATGTATAATAAAAAAAAATAGTTAAACTCTTTCCACCATCAAATTTGAGTACTTGGAAGAAAAAAGGGAAAAAAATAAATAAAAAGGCAATGTATATTTGTTTATAATAATTTTGGAAAGGTTATAAAACTTGAAATAAAATATTTAAATTAGTGATCTGTACCGAGCCTTATTTTTCAAGCCCGGCCCGGAAAATATTTTTAAAAAAATTTTGGCGGCCCGAAGCCCGTTCCGGCTGGGGCCGGGTCTAGTTTTGCCGATTTCTAATTTAAATACTATTTTATTAAAAAATTATTAAAGAAAATATCATCATTTAATCAGTGTTGTAAACGTCTAAAACTCAATATTTTATCCAGAAAAAAAAATATAATTTGCAAATCTTAGGATTTTGCTCGTAGAAGAAGGGGCCAAAAAAGGTTCGAACATTTATATAAGAAATTTCAAGGCTTGGACCAGATATTTTCCTGGCTAAAATATTGAACTTAACCGTTTAAAAAAAAAGTCGGGCTCAAGTGGAGCCGTTTAACCCAGCCAGTTTAAACGACTCCACTTGGCCTTATTTTTAAAAGGACCAATTCGATATTTTAGCGAGAACCAGAAATTTTGCTAATAGAATGTCCGAACGTTTGTGCCATTTCTATGTGAAAAAAAATCTTCAGGTTCGCGTAATATTTTTATGTATAAAATATTGAGTTTTAGACGGTTTTTTTATAAAATCGGCTCAAATCGAACCGCTATAACTGACACTAATTATAATAAAACTTTTTTAAAAAAAGCCAATTTTGACAGGAAATAATAATGCTTAAACTTTGGCGGTGCACCACCCTCTCAGCGTACGTGGTTACTTCAGATCCCGGGGTCATTAATATTCCGTTACAAAAGAGATATTTACCAAATTTTTTATTCTACATAAAGTATCGGATCTAAAATAATGTTTGAAAATATGAATTGATAAGACTTGAAACGATGTAAGTTAAATTTATAATTAATATTTAGAAAAAAAAATGTTCCATGTCTCCTCCATCTAATCAGAATATAAAAATAAAATCATGTGATTCATCATAATGAGCCTTTTTTTAAATTGTTCATTTCCGATTTGCTTATCAATATATTATGTGTCTTGGTCATTGATACTTTGGAATAGGACAGTCTACTTTAATTTTTGGAATAGTTTAAATCCATGACACATAAATTCAACATTTTTTCCCTAGTGGAAAAATGTGAAGGGTAAATTTGAAAAAAAAGACGCTTTAGGGATATAGCGTAGCGTAAAAAGTAGCTTCGCTACCTTTTCGCGAAATGGTAACTTCTCAAAAGTGCTTTACAACACTGGTTATCCGCCACACGTTTCCGTCAAACACTTTGTTTCTTATAAAAAAAAAATCATTTTAAAATTCTTTTTCTTTTTTAAAATCGAGATTATTTTATATTACATATTACATAAAACATTTTAAAAATCAAACATAATATGCAAGGTGTTGTGTGTGCGAGTGAGTGGGTAAAGGGGGGGGGGGGTAATAACTCATATTTATATAAAATTTAAATTTCTTCAAAAATATATATAATTTCTAAAATAAATAAAAAAGTTAATAAACCCTACAACACCCCCCCCCTCCTCCTCCCATCTCTAATATCAATATAAGATAAGAAATTTTAGAAAA